CACTTGGGATTCACCTTGGGGTGGGGGGCTCACCCAGTCTAACAGCAGCCATCAGAAAGAGTGATAACAATAAAAAAAAAGGGTTTTTATTTAAAAAAAAAAAAAAAAGGAAGAGTTAGCATTGAGCCAGATTTCAAGGGCATTCCAGATCCCAGTACTTAAAGGAGACACAAATGCTCTGCAAAGGGAATACCAGGGTCCCAGTATGGTTAGAGTTGATGAGCACATTCCAGACCAAAGTCAGGCCCTGTGGCCTCCTGAACATCCAATGTATCCATCACTCAGGGTTAGTGAATAAAGGGCTGCCACCTACATAAAACATGCCAGAAAGTTCTTTACCTTAACTACCACGTGCTTTTTACTGTGTTTCAGAGCCCAAAATTGAAGCCCTGAAGGAAGTGAATTTACAGGGTATTGGAGTTCTGTACCTGCAAAGGCAAATGTTTATGTAAAATGAACTTAAAAGACACCCCTCCACCCAACTACCTCTGTTCTTAATCTTTATTTTATCTCTCTTTGTTTTGAGACAGGGTCTCACTATGTAGACCAGGCTGGCCTCAAACTCACAGAGATCTGCCTGCCTCTGCCTCCCAAGTACAGGGATTAAAGGCATGTATCACCATGCCCAGCCTCTGTTCTTAATCATCTTATTTTAAAATATAGTGAAGAGTGAAAGTTCCAGAAGGCAAAGCCCCCACTGAAGCTTCTCCCTTGGGACACCCAGAGCCACCCATGGGGTTAATACTCACATCTCCAAATTCCAGCTTTGGCTCTGGGTGTTGAAATATCCCCAGCTAGCGGCATTCTGGTCAGACATCAGGGGTCTTGGCAAGCCACATAGCATGGCAACCACATAGTCTTGGATAGTACCAGCTGCATCGTAGGACTTCAGGAACTCTGGGCTGGTCATCACACCAAAAATAGTTCAGCACAATGTAATGAGGATACGGAAACTTGTGCTGCCTAACTGTGATCAGAGAAGACTAGACAAGGCACAAGGGGGATGTAGCAACAATTTCACACACTACGGCTCAAATACAGCTGAATCCCTGGGAGAGGACCTCCCAGCCACTCCAGATAAAGTCATCCCAAGTCAGCCACAGGCAAGCAGACTTGGAGGAACAAGCACTTTGCCCAGGAAAACAGATCATGGTCCTGTCTCCTACAGCCCTGGCCTTCCAGTGAACTCACCTTGGCAAATCACTTCCTCTTGTCTCTCCTTTCCTCCACACCCTTACCGTTACCCCTACCCCTACACACACACACACACACACACACACACACACACACACCTGGATTAGAACCAGATAACCAATGGAAAGCCTCTGCAAATGGAATCAATCCCAGCCTATGACTGTACCTTGGGCCAGACGACACTCACTGAGGCACAGGCCAGCAGGTGAAGAGATGCTGACTAGCTAGAGATATCATCTCTGGCTACTTTCATGCCCAGGAAATTCTGTGCTCATTCAAAGAGCAGTTGTCATACCTATTTTTCAAAAACCAGAAGATGGTTGCACAGCCAAATCCTGTGGCCACACTGAGATGGGACTCTGGCTGAGGCAGAGAAGCCAGGAACCCACTGCTACACCGACCATCCTGCCATGTGACCAGGTGGCTTACAGCTCTGGGCTTAAACACAGAGGCAGGCCCTGCATTCATCCATTCACAGCCTGGAAGAAAGGAGATGAAAAACATGGAAAAAAGAGCACCGAGTAGGTACAGGCACAGCCGTGAGCCTTCTCTGCCAGTGAGTTCAATGTGCAGACATTTCTGGCAATGTTTCATTCATATATGGTTCTGATATCAGTGGCTGGGCAGGTCACCTACTGGGTCTTACTATGTAGCCCAGGCTGGCCTCTAGCATGCCATCTTCTTACCTCAGCCTCCAGAGTGCTGGGCTTACAGGCATGCACAACCACACCTGGCTTGTGATCAAGCTAATTTTCAATTTTTAGTGTGTCCTATTCTAAGAGTTCTGTCTCTGATACAATCAAATAACCCAGAACAGTATTTTCCTTGTGGAACAGTACTGCCCAAGTGTCTGTGAGCTGGCCTATGGGCTCATTTTCCCTGCCAACATCTGACTGCTCTGCCAAAAAATGCCACTGGGCCAGGTCTTGCTCTAAGGTGGATTCATGGGTAAATCTACAGCTAATCCACCCCCACCCTGCAAATAATCTCTTCAGACTAGGGCCTTCCATCTGGCCCTCAAGAATAAACAATAGTATGGGGCTGGAGAGATGGCTCAGCAGAAAACCCAGGTTCAAATCCCAGCACCCACATGGCAGCTAACAACCATCCATAACTCCAGTTTCAGGCAACCTGACCCCCTCTTCTATCCTCTGTGGGCATTGCAGGACAAGGTGCACTTACACATATGCAGGCATAATCCTCATATACATAAATCAACCAATCAATCAAAAAAAGTTTTTAAAGAATCAACAGTGTTATATGAATCCTTAGATTATAGGTTACCAACTCTGGAGTTGGATGGGCACAACTTTTCTCTAATGCCTTGGCTGTGTCCCTGAAGACACCTGTGTTCCTATGGCTGTAGGAATTAGTGACCATAATGGTCCAGAGGAGCCAGCAGTTCCCCTCCTGGCATGTCCTTTTCTTTGTGTTTTTCCTCTTATGATTCCTCTAAAACCAATCTTGGGAACAAAGGGTGGTGTCAAGCTAGCTCAACATCTTGGTGGCATCTACATTTGGAAGTTCAGAGCCAGAAAGCACTTTGAACTCTTGTCCTCTGGATGCTAGTGGCTCTGACACTTTTATCTCAGGCCACTAGCAAGGGGAAGGGTTATAGTTAAGAAGATTAAAGTTCTGTGTGAAGTTGTATATATTAATGAGACAGCACATGTACAGAACTCAGAACACTTACCAGCACAATAAATCTACATACTGTCACACCACCCTGAGCATACCTTATCCCATCTGATCTCAGAAGCTAATCAGGGTCAGGCCTGGGTAATATTGGATGGGAGAATGCTCAATAAGTGCTAGTAGAAGTGATGATGATGATGATGATGGTGATGGTGATGATGGTGATGATAACGATGATGGTAATGGTGATGATGATGAACCTTTAGATCTGCTATAGTTTGTATCTGGAATGTCTCCCAAAGCCCCTATGTATTAAAGGCTTGGTCCCATTTGGTGCTGTTGGGAAATGATATAAACTTTAAGAAGTGAGAGGGGTCTAGCAGGAGCTCTTTATGTCACTGGGGGCATGTTTCTCAATGGTTTCCCACTGAGGGACACCAGTTTTTTGTCTGTCTTTCTTGTCTACTTCCTAGCCATGAGGTGAGAAGTTTGGCTCTGCCACATATTCCCACCATGATACGCCACTACAGACCCAAAGCAATGCACTGGAACCTCTCAAACTGTGAGCTGAAATGACCTTTTCTCTGTATAAATTAATTCTATAGTAACAGAAAGCTGAATAACACAACTTCTAAACTCTGCCCTGGTCCTAAGACTTTTCCAGCAGCCTCTAAGATAAACAGCGTACCTCCCTACATATCTTCTCATCAAATATGGGCTGTTTCTCATGCTACCATGCAACTTAAATACAATCACTGCAGCAGAATGGGGAAAGAATGTCGACATGAAGTGTCAGTCCAGAAAAGTTCACAGTAATTGAAGACACTCAGGACTTCAATTACTGGGCAAAGGTGAGAATCTGTCCCCTACTGAAGAATGGTGCCTGCTCTCTTAGTCAAGCAGAGTAAAAGTTTTACTGTGTCTGACCTCAGACCCTATATCTAGAATCCCAGGTCATCATATTTTTCTATAAATTTGCACACAGAGAACCAAAGAGAGAGAGCTACCTGCCCCTCCCCATACTTAGTTCCAGGCTATGAAGAATCCATTCATTCATGTACTCATTCGTGGCTGTATGATATATTGACCAAGTGTCTAATGAACATTAAGTACTAGTTCTATTCTAGTCTCTAAGCACATGGCAATGAACCAGGGAAATCACTGCTTCCATAGAGCATGCATGCTAGGGATGGAGACAGAATATAAACAAGTGAAGGTGTAATACCCACTACTTTTAACTGCTATGAAAAATGTGTGAAAGGGGAAGGAGAAAGTGAAACGTTGTTGGAGGTAGTCCAGGAAGTCCTTTCTGAAGTGACATGTGAAGAAGGACATGCAGACAGATGGAATGGTGAGGGCAAAAACTGAAGCACCTGGTCAAGCAATCTGTGTTAGTATTCCTGGCCAGTGCTTAGCACAGCAAGGAGGCAGGTTACAGGTCTCCACCTGTAACCTTGGACACCAGGCACCCACAACATCTGCTTGGTGTCATGTTAAGTTTCCCTTATGGGCAGGGACAGGGACAGGCCACTTCCTTCTGGGAGCAACCTCCTCCACAGAAGCACTCTTGCCAGAAGCTAAGTTTGGGCTTCTTACCCCAATGCTAAACCTGCGTCTCTATGGCTTTGTTTAGTCCTTTATCTACTTCCAGAACTCTTTTGATACCACTTTTACATTTTTTAATTGTAATTTCATGAAAAAGCAACAATAGTATATTTATCATGTGCCAGATATTGTCTGACACACTTTAAAAATACGAATTCAAGCTGGGTGTGGTGGCATACACCTTTAGTCCCAGCATTAAGGAGGCAGAGGCAGGCAGACCTATGTGAGTTCGAGGCCAGCCTGGTCTACATAGTGAGTTCCAGGACAGCTGGGGCTACAGGGAGACCCTGTCTCAAAAAGACCAAAATGTGTGTGTGTGTGTGTGTGTGTGTGTGTGTGTGTGTGTGTGTGTGAATTCAGGGCTAGAGAGATGGCTTAGCCTTAAAGGCTCAGGCTCACAACCTAAATGTCAAAAATAGGAATTTGCTTAATCTGCATGATAACTTTATAAAGCAGATGTAATTATTATCTCCACATAAGAAAATGAAGCAGAAAGCTTTTAAAATTGAATCAACTTCACATGGTGAATAAGTGGTAGAATCAGAACACAAATCTAGACAGCCTGCCCCAGAATCGGACCGATGGGTATCACCTTTTCTTTCTTCCTTTCTTCCCTTTGAGGAAGAGTTGGTATATCTAAAAATTTTTAATGACATAAATGATAAATGAACACATTCTCCATATAAAATCTTCAGTAGTACAGATAGAGCAAAGTCTTGCTTGGCCCCATGTAAGTCGCAGCCCCTTCCTGGTACTGTCAGCACAAGCTGGACAACTGTGCATTTACACTCATGTTTAAAACACAGCATGTTTTACTTTATGTAACCAATGTGGGTGTGGCTCTTAAAGTGTGTTTGTTTAAACAATAGCACTGCACTGTATTTATTGTTGCCCAACAACATATTTTAAGTTCTTTGTATGTCAATGCACTTGAATGTACCTTATTCTTTCTAACAACTAAGTATCATCCCTCAGCATGGGCCTGACAGCATTTATGTAATAAGTCCCCACAGGTAAATGTCCCCTTTCCACTACTGTAAACACGGATGGAGTAAAGGGTGGTAACCATGCCCAGACTGTAATTCCTGAGTCATAGCAGCTTACCTGCCAAGCTGCCCTTCAAAACAGCTCTACTAATTTACACTATTTAAATACCAGCTGCAGTATTTATAGTAAACCAGTTTTCCACCCTTTTGACAACTCTTGACATTCCCAAACTTTTAGATTTCTCACAGCCCAGTAGGTAGAAAGTGATTTCTCATGGTTGCTGACATCTGCATTTTCCAAACTGCTGATGGCATGGAGCATCACCTCTTTGTTTCTTCTTCTGGGTTTTGCTTGCCGGGATCTTTAAGGCCCGTCAGTCTTTGCTATTGCTGTTCTCTTTGTCCTGATAATCTGTCCTTCATCTACACTACACTGGCATGTTTGTGTCCAATCTACAGCTCACCTTTTAGCTTCGTTTTGTGACTCCCATTCTCTCCTTTTATTGAGCCTGAAAATAGAATCTGAAAACAGGTATAACCACAGGCCTCTCAAAAAAACGCTAATCACTCCCAGTCCTCCAACTTGCTCGCCTGTGTCCTCACTGAAGCACTTAGCTCTCTGCTCAAGTTGCAGGTACCTAACTATGTTGGCTGTGTTCTAGAAGGTACAAGCGTCTATCATTCCTTTCTATATCTCCCTTGGGGCCCAGCACAGGGTCTACACCTGTTAGGTACTAAAACCAACCTGAATTGTGGCCACCATCAAAAACAGCACAACCTGATCCCAAATCTGATTTCATTGGCCTCCACAAAGCAGGAATCATCATCACCAAATATAGGCTTCCTCCTTCCCGGAATCAGAAAGCAAAACAAGGCAGCAGACCCACTCAATAAAATTTTAAGCAGCTCTTCCAATGATGTGGCTGATGGTTTGTGTGGTTGGTACACAGTCCAGGAGACAGGCAGAAAGGGAGGCGGGTGACCAGACCCCAATCATTAGCTCTCTGCTGTCTCTTTGGAAAGGGTTTTAGTATTAAAAGGACATTTATTCTCGTTAATGAAGAATTAGGGAATTTAAAAAGCTTTTACAACCTAGACTCCCTAGGAGACATTAGCTCTGGCACGCTCATCGCCTCCTGCTCCTACCACTGCTTAGAGCCAGGCAGTTTCCTTGTCTGGGCTGGCCTGATGACAGGCAGACATGAAAGGGAGGGAGAGAAGGAGAGAGGGGAGGAGAGAAGGAAGGAGGGAGGGAGGGAGGGAGGGAAGGAAGGAAGGAGGGAGACTTTTATAGTTACCTATCCCAGTCTGGAGTGGGGTTCAAAGGAGGAATCACTAGACAAGGCAAGTCACCACTCAGCCCAGCAGACTCTCTAGACAGAAAGGAATGAATCCAGCATTCCCATCTTAACTACACCACCCATCGACCCACAGCAGCGCTTTATCCTCTGCTTAAAATATCTGCACTTGGCCTATAGTCCTCACTATTTGGTAGGTATGAGACTCCATCTCAAAAGAAACACAAAGTCACCTGCTCTCAGCGCTGATGTTACTGATGCTGAAAGATGGCTTCCTAACACTACCCTTCCTAGTTTATGTCTATGTCACATTTTCTATACTTTTTTAAAATCTTTGGCTAGCATAACAGGGAGTTCCTGACTTTCTATAGGAGCCATTCCTTCCCTGGACATTCTGTGGGAAGCCCTCCCTTCACTGTTCCCTCCTGTGGCTCTGCTGCTCCTGGAGGCCTTTAAAGATTCGGTGTCTGAAATCAGACAGACCTGGTTCAAAAGTTGGAGTCTCCACTTGCTGCCATACAATCCTGAGCATGTTATTCTAACCTCTCTGAACCTCCAACTCCTCACTGCACAATGGTGACAGTCACCTTCACGAGGGTATTGAGAAAGATGGATGAGATCATGCGGGTAATATCCTTAGGCTCACACCTGGCATCTGAAGCGCTCCTTGTTTTCCTGGCTCAGTTTCTTCCAGAGGGCCACACAGAATAGATCACCACCTCTGCATGACAGCAGATCTTCAGCAGATGACAAATTAAGTAATGCTTTGCAGGCATGCGCTTTGCATGCACTGAGCCTGGGTCCAATCCCCAGCACCAAATAACAAAACAACGAAATATTAATAATAATGTTTTCCCCGTAAAAGTGATAGTACATAGAATTAGTTGAAATTACGGAAAGATTAAAAACTATGCCCAACAAGGCCTGGTGGCACAGGTTTGTAATTCTAGCTGCTCAGGAGGTTGAGACAGGAGGACTGCAATTTCTCTGCAGCCTGCCTGAACTATAGTGAGTGCAAGCCCAGTCTGGACAATTTATCAAGATGCTGTCTCAAAATAAAAAGCAAAAAGAGGGTTAGGGGATGTAGTTCAGTGAGAGAGTACTTGCCTAGCATGTGCGAGGCCTTGAGCTGAATCCCCAGAACAACAACCAGAGTTGAAGACTCAGTTTTTCCTCTGGCTGTTCACAGCTAATGTTCATGGATATGCAAGTAGACAATTCACTTTTCATTACACATTTGACCCAGACAAAGTGTACACAAAACAGAGGGGACAGCATGAGATAGCGTATTCTGAAGCATAAGACACTACACTCATGGCAGAACAAACTGGCCCTGGTCAGAGGGCCCTTTGCAGCCCTGCTCTGGGTTGTTAAGTGGCAGTAGCGTGAGGTATCGCCCACACCCAGTGTACCTTGGCCTGCTTTCCAAAACATGACACCATGCATCTGTCCCGACACTCCGATGCCCCCAACTCTCCGAAGCTGCTGCCGCGGAAGGGCATCGAGGCACTGGTTTAGGGCTTGGATGATTCTACTCACATCCTGCTCCTGGCCCTGGAAACAGAACAGGACAGAGTGGACACAGGCAGACAAACAGGAAGGCCAATGAGGATAGGCCCTGAGGGATTTCCTGGAGGGAGTACTGGACACTCATTCCCCTAGGGTCACTTTCAAGACCTGCTGGGTTAGATGTGGGACTGAATACTCTGGTTTAGCTCCAGCTGGACCTGGGCTGGGACTGACAAAGGAAGAGGAAGCACAGTTGCAAACAAGATCCAGCAGATAGGACAGGCTCTGCATTCCACTGTGGGTCAGGCTGAGCTAAGAGAAGCGCTAGTCCACACTGTCAGTAGGAGAAATAAGGGGAGGGTCTCCTTCACAAGGAACGTGGAATGGTGAGGCTGGGGCCACAGCAGGGAGGAGTCTGACAGTGCACTGGCAGAGGAAATTCTGCTCCCTCCCTTCCATTCCAGATTGGATGGAATGAATAGAGACAACAGACAGATTCAATAGGAAAAAAAGGCATACAGATTTATTGACAGGCAAAGGCAGTGGGGACCACAGCACGAAGGGAAACCACAGGTGTTGAGGACTCATTGGCCCAGCATGAGTCTGAATTCACACTGCTCTTTTTATTAGAATGAAGGAAGAAAGAACAGGAAATGTGGGCAATTTTGAAAAGTCTTAAAAGATAATAAGGGAAGAGAGACAGAAATTAGTTTGCAATATGATTATCTCTGGAATTTGAATGAGCCCATAGGCTAGGCATTATACAGGTGAGCTCCATTCCTCAGTCTTTTCTGACTGAATTAAAAGATAAGATTTCAGGACTAGATGGAAGGTAGGTCTAGTGCCTTTGCGGTCTGATCTCTTTGAGGTGGGGGCACAGCAATCTCATCCTGTTGCCCAAGCTGGCCCTCAACTTCTGAGACCTGGTTATCCCCATTCCTGCCCCAGCCTCCCAAGGAGCTGAAATATGAGGCCCACATCCAGCTTGGAGCCTGGTCTTGATGCATATAAGAGAAATCCTCTCCATGTGTTTGGGTAGGGAGAAACTAGACAAAGTTAGAGGGACCTTGATTCTAAACCTGCTTTTAAAATATTTTCATTTCCTGGGGCTGGAGAGATGGCTCAGCAGTTAAGAACACTGGTTGTTCTTGCAGAAGACCCAGGTTCGAATCCCAACACCTACATGGCAGCTAACAACGGTCCGTAACTCCAGTCCCAGGGGATCTGACAGCCTCTTCTGACCTCCACGAGCATTGCACGACACGGGTGCACTTACCCACACGCAGGCAATACACACATACACATAAAATAAAAATAATAAATTTTAAAAAACTTTCATTTCCTCCACAGCAACTTTCTCAGTACAACAAAAGATATCATATTGTGGGGAAGGGTACCATTTTCTGAGCCTCAATACAGGAAAGATGTGGTCAAGAAAGATCCAAGGGAACTGGAGAGATGGCTCAGTGGTTAAGAGCACTGGCTGTTCTTGCAGAAGACCCGGGTTCAAATCCCAGCACCCACATGGTGGCTAACGGCCATCCATAAACCCCAGTTCCCTCTTCTGTCCTCCACAGACACTGCACAATATTGGTGAACTTACAAACATGCAGGCTAACACTCATACACATAAAATAAAAATAAATAAATTTTAAAAAGACCCAAGGACTAAAGCCCTCCAGGATAAGCCTTAGTGTTTTCATCTACTTGGTCTTTAGTTTGTCCAGCAGGCAAGTCCTGAGTGCTATGGCAGCCAGGAACTACATATGAAATCAAAACCCACCTCAGCAAGGAGAAGCTCAGGGTACATTTGGGGCACAGAATCAAAGGCTGAGCTGTGTACATGGTGGTGGAAAATGAGGTTGGAAGTGAGGCGAGACAGAGGCCCAATCCCTGGGCCTCCGGCTCCAGGCTGATGGGCTCCTCCTGAAGGTAATGTGAGCCCCAGAGTGTTCTGAAAAAGAAAGCATCAGGGCTTTCAGAGGATAAACTAATACAACGGCATCAGTAACACAAGGAGACACTTATGGTAGAGAGATTTTTCAGGGACAGAGAAGACACAGAAGAAAGCTAGGACCACTTTTCCCTGAGGAATCTTTTCTTCTGACTTCCTCCCTCCTTGAAACAGTGACAGCCAAGTATGCCAATCATCCCACTTACTGGGGCAAGGGAGCAGCAGCACGAGGATAGCTGGAGCCCAAAAGTCTGAGAACACCTGGGTAACACAGTGAGACTCCATCTCTAATAAATAAATAGCCGATCCTGGGGATGGGGAGATGGCTGTCAGTAAAGTGCTTGCCATGCAAGCATGAGGACCCGTTTTCAATCCCCAGCACCCACATAAAAAACCCCAGCACTGGGGAGGAAGAGACCACAGCATCCCTGGGGCTCACTGGCCAGTCAGCTAGCTAAACTGACAAGCTCCAGGTTCAATGAAAGATCCTATCTCAAAAAATAAGGTGGACAGACAATTGGGAAAGACACCCAATGCTGACCTCTGGCCTCCACATGCATGCACACGTGTGCACACTCTCTCTCTCTCTTTCTCTCTCGCTCTCGCTCTCGCTCTCGCTCTCTCTCACTCGGAGAGAGAGGCTTGAGAGATGGGGCTCAGCAGTTAAGAGTGCTTGCTACTCTTACAGAGGACTTGGGTTCAGTTCCCAGGACCCACATGGAAGTACAAACTGTAACACCAGTTCCAGGGTATCCACCGCCCTCTTCTGGCCTTCAGGAGCACCAGGCATGCACATAGTAAATATACATACATGCAGGCAAAACATTTATATACAGGCTAGAGAGATGTCAGTGGTAAGTGTATTAGCTGATCTTGCGGAGGGCCCAGGTTCAGTTACTAGCACCCACATGACAGCTAACAACCATCTGTAACTCCAATTCCAGGGAATCTGACGCCCTCTGCCAACCTCTGTGGGCACTGCATGACATGGGTGCACTTACATACATGCAGGTAAAACACTCATACACATAAAAAATAATAAAATATTTTTTTAAAGTAGGGTTCTGAGTTTCATGAATTGAAAACTTACTTTGATTTCATCTAAAATAAAATATGTTGGCACATGAAAATCACTTCAAGTACAAAATAAATGATCATTTAACAACTAGAAGGATCTATGAATAGTTCAGAAAAGGAGAAGAGAAATGTGGCTCATCTCCCAATAAATGCTAGCTCTCTGTCAAAGCAGAAAGCTTAGTCTGAGGGAAACATGAGAAGACTTCATTCTCGGGATTCATGGTTCCCGCCAGGGAGTGCCACCTACCCTCCTGAGAACAAATCTGCAGCGTGGTCCAGGACAGTTCTTGGCCATAACAAGCATGCACAAAACAGGAACACAGCAGGAAGGTGAGGAGGGGTAGGCTGGGGAGGAAGTGGGGAGTGCAGAGAGCAGATCCTGAGCAGGTAACACAAGGTAACAAGATTCCTTTCAGCTATGCCAGCCAGACTGACACAGCAGTAAAAGACACACAGGGGAGGTGCATGGCTATGTGTGATCTCCAAAGAGGAAGAAAGACAGGGAGGACATGGGTGAAAGAAGAAAGTAGAGGACCGCCTGTCCAGTCTGGATTGAAATGTATCATATGTACAAAGCACATCCAAGGGCTGGAGAAATGGCTCTGACAGTCAATGCTTCCTTACAAGCATGAGCAACTGAGTTTGACCCCTGGAACCCATGCTAAAAAAAGAAGTCTGGGGACTACAGAGAGAGCTCAGTGGTTAAGAGCACCGACTGCCCTTGTAGAGGACCCGGGTTCAATTCCCAGCCACATGGTGGCTATGAACCATCCTTAACTTCAGTTCCAGGGGAATGTGATGCCCTCCTCTGACCTCTGCAGTACTGCACAACACGGATGTACTCACATACATGCAGGCAATACACTCATACACATAAAATAAATAAATATTAAATAAATAAATTTTAAAATATTTTAAAAAGTCCGGCACTGTGGTGTATACAGTTTTAACCCCAGCACTGGGGAAGCAAAAGCAGATCCCTGGGGCTCATGGACCATCCAGCCTAGCCTACTTGTCAAACTCCAGGCCTCTGGGAGATCTTGTCTCAAGAAAAGGTGGATAGAGCCCGGGGATCAACACCCAAGGTTGTTCTCCACAGCCACGTGCACACCCACACACAGAGACAGAGCTCAGAATTAGCATGAAAAAAGAATGCCCGAGCCAGGTGTGGTGGCACAAGTCTTTAATCCCAGCACTCTGGATTAGATTCACAAAGGCAAGTGGATCTCTGTGAGTTTGAGGTCAGCCTGGTCTAGTGAGTTCCAGACCAGCCATAGTGAGACCCTGTCTCAACAAAACAACAACAACAAAAGAATATTTCATTAACATATTTCTATTATTGCACATCAAAATAATATTCTACATATACTGAGTTAAATAGAATACATAATTAAAATTATTCATCCCAATACTTGGGAGACAAAGACAGGTGAATCTGTGTGTTACAGGCCAGCATGGTCTATATAGTGAGTTCCAGAGCAGCTGGCACTATATAGTGAGACCCTGTCTCAAAATAAAATAAAATAAATTTCTCATGTTCCTTTTACTTCTTTTAAAACAGATACTCAAAAAACTGAAATTTACATATGTGGTTCACATTTGTGACTTGTATTTCTGTTAAATAGTACTTAAAGTCCCCAAATGGCCACAGACAGTGCATTTAAGACAGAGTGGCCTCTGTTTAAAATGAGTCCAGGGTGGGTGAGTTGTGTGGGTGGAGACTGGAGGAGGAAACTGAGCTGGGCAGGGAGTGAAAACAAGAAAGCAGTGTTCAATAGTTCATTTTAGGAGTGTGGTCAGGGCAGTCCTGGGACAATGTGTGTACACCCACACTGTAACAGAAAAACCACTGTTGCCACCCTTTCTCGGTTCATAACATCAGTGGGTCTATAACCAGATCAAGTCCTAGAACTTTAGACTTCAAAAAAGTGCTTAGTAACTCATTCAAACCCACTGATGCTTGTGCCCCTACAACTCAGGGACTGAATCCAGAGAGGATAAATAAGAAAGGGTCGCATAGCTTCTCTCCTGTGTTTTAGCTGCATAGAGTGCCACATATCTGTAATCCCAGCACTTGGGAGGCTGAGACAAGAAGATCCAAGTTTGAGGCCAGCCTGGGCTAAATAACAAGACTCTATCTCAAAACCAAAAAACAATAAATTTGTCTTTTAAACTGCAAATACTTAAGAACTTGACCTTTTGCATAGCTGCCAAGTCTGAAAAGTTGTTGATGTTGTGTTGAGACAGGGTCTCACCAGGGTTGTCCTTTTCAGTACATGACTGAAAAGTATGGACAGACATGAGGAAAGGCTATCATAGATCAGTGGTTCTCCTTCAAGAGTGATTTGGCTCCCATGGAGGACTTGTGGCAATGGAGAGACAATTTGGTTTGTCCCATGTGGGAGGAAGAAGTGCTGCAGGTACCTTGTAGGTGGAGGCCAGGGGATAACGCTAAACATTCTACAGTGAACAAGACAGTCCACAACATAGAATTATGCAGCTCCAAAAGTCAACAGAACGAAGGTGGAGAAACCTGCCACAGATGAGAACCATGGAAATGCTGTTTATCCCAGAGCAAAGCTCATTTGTGGAGGATGCAGGGGTGGGGGTGGGGCAGGTAATTTCTGACCTCTTCTGAGACCTTCTGGGAATGATGTGGTACTGGGTGTGGCTGTAAGCAAAGAACAGCCAGCTGGATGCTGAGGGAAGTGGGAGAAACTTGTTCTGGAGAAGTGATCTTTTTTTGTTTTTTGGTCTTTTTGAGTCAGGATCTCCCTGCAGCCCCAGCTGGCCTGGAACTATGTAGACCAAGCTGACCTTGAACTCACAGAGATCCTCCTGCCTCTCTGCCTCCAGAGTGCTGGGATTAAAGGCATGCACCACCACACCCGGCTGAAGAAGTGATCTTGAACTAGGGATCAAGTGTTAGAGCACTATCCTAGCACACATGAGAGACTCTGGGTTCAGTCCCCAACACCAAAAAAATGAGAAGCAGCTCTTATTTTATGAGAAAAGGGCAGTGCCTGAACCCACTGTACTCTGATCCCAGTTCCGCTGTTCAACCCACAGGATCAGAGCCAATTTCACCTCCATTTCATAATCCATGAAGTCAAATAATCATTCTAAAACACCATGTGGCTCCAGCCAAACCAAATTTGAAGGCCTCTAGGAAAACGCAAAGTGCTTCTGAAATTTTTATCCTCTCAAACGCTTCCCAGCAAGATGGATTCTGAACCCTAAAGAATTGAATACAGATAGTTGCCAAGATCTTCGGAAAAACAAAGTTCTTAAGTATGGGGTAATGCCCAGAAAATCATTTATGGCTCAAAGAAGCCACCTAGTTCAAACCAGGGAACAAGATGAGGTCCAGGAAAGAAGTTACATTCTACCTTGATATTAATTTCTATTGTCAATTGACTGAATATAAGCCATAACTTTTTAAGAAACTTAACAGGAGCTTTTTCTGAGGATTGACATCCTTCCTAAGCCTACCTGCAGAGCCTACTGTCCTGAATTTGTACCTTTTTAAAAAAATGTTCACTCATCGTGTGTGTGTGTGCATACATGTATGTGTGTACATGCACAGGTGTATGTGTACATGTGCATGCCACAGTATGTGGAAGTCAGAGGACAATTTTTCAGGAGTCAGTTTTCTCCAAGATAGGTTCCAAAGTGGAATTTGATTCAGGCCTGACACCTGCTGAGCCATCTTGTGAGCCCCTAAATTTGTCCTGCTCTATCTTGTAGTTTTCAAAAGCCTCTGGTTCTGGTGTATATCAGATTTTTGTTGCTGTTTTTGGGGGGGGCGGGGTTAAGACAGGGTGTTCCACCAACTGGCCTCTTGGTGTAGACCAGGCCTGCCTCTGTCTCCCCAGTCCTGGGAATTAAAACTGAGCCACCACAGCTGATTGATTGTTTTAGATACTATAGACTTATCTCCCAGTGTTTTCCTGTCTACTCTGACATCTTTCCTCCAGGGAATCTTAGTTCCGGCTTTGCTAATCAAGTGAATTTTTGAGTCCACATTCCCTACTTGGGAATGTCAGGATCAAGATAGGCCCTAATTCTGCATGATTTCCGGGACACAATCCATGCTCAACCCTGGGGAACAAACCGATTCCTGAACTTGAGGGCACAGGGCAGAGAAGGACGTCCCGAAGCAGCAAGAGTGACAGGCAGACTTGTGGTTTTCTCTGAGAGCAATTCCTCTCAGGTCGAAGTACAAAAAGTGGAGGGCAGAGAGCGGAGGGCTCCAGTGCCACGGGCCCCTGGCGGAAGCCAGACGGTGGGGAGATCGGTGTGCAAGCTCCTGGGTCAAAACTAACAGTTTAGGTTGAGCTGCAGCAGGCAGAGAGACCCCTGCAGGAGAGGGCAGCAGACGGAGGTCAGACAGGCTGCTCATTGTCGGGGGACTTCTTTGCAGCAAGCTGCTGCCGGGATGCCACCTGCGCCAGGAGGTTCCTTAGGGGCGGCGGCTGCAGGGTGCTGCCTCACCTGGGACCCGGCCACCGAGCTCTCGGTCTCCGCCCTCGCAGCCCGGGCGCAGCTCGCCAGTACCACAAACCCGGATGGGTGGTCGGGGGCGGCCTCCAGCAGCGCGGCCTTCACGGACGTGGTGCCCAAGTCAATACCGAGAGTGACGGGCGGCGAAGCCATGGCAGCGGTGGCCGCGCAGCTCTGGTCGCCCAGAACCCGGCTCCACCAGCTCACTCGCCCCAGATGCAGGCACTGGACGGGGCTTCCCTACCAGGATTTCTGCAACACTCAACATGGCGGCCTCTCCTCTTCCCATTGGTGGAGAAGGCAGCCCCCTTGCGGTGGGTCCTAGCGATAGGTGGAGAGGCAGCAGGGTGCGGGACCTGCGGGCCACGCCCCGTAGGGCTGAAGTTCCAGAGGGGCAGCGGTGTCCCAGCGTCCTCTTTTAAGGAGCACAGCTTTTGCTGAGAGGCCACAGGGGCTCCGACAGCCTTACGGAGCCTAAAGTAGCTAGATTGTCTCTACACCGGAGCCCCGATCCTTGCCAAGCGCCAGTGCCTTCCGCCTTCCCTCGACCCTGTCCAACTCCACCCGGCTATGACTCGTGAAAACTACAACTTCCAGGGACCCTTGCTCCAAGCCTACGCCTCCAGCAGTCAGGTGGTTCAGGTCAGGTGACAGCTGGCCCACCCTCACACTAAATCAGCCAGCCGCGGGAGCCCGGTACATTCTGAAGCAGCTTCTGGCGCGAGATTGCTGCGTCCGGTGAGGTTGGTCCCCTGAGCCTGGGAGGTTGTCAGGTGAGAGTCGTCACTGCCAGGACAGCCCCCCTCCCCCATTTTCCGTTAGGAACGCCCCCCCTCCCCCGAGATGGGCCCATCACATCGCAGAGGCAGCCTGCCGCAGATCCAGCCCCCTCCAGCTGCACCTGGATTCCATCCACTGGCCTCAGCCAGACACTGGACAGCCCCAGCTGAAGGGCCAGGGTGTTGGTGAGCAAAAGCAGTGATAACCACATACCTGGGTGGTGTAGGGAAGCACTGTTTCAGTGCAGTTGGAGCCCCCTGCCTGCTTCCTGCGTTAGTTGCTGCCTGAATCTGGATTGGGGAGTGTGCAGGTTGCTTCGGAGAGGCAGCATGCTGTTGCCTTCGGCAGTGCTGGGCTCCAGGACACTAGCTGGGAAAAGACTCCAATCCTGCCCCCTGGGGTTCTCAACCTGGGGGAAAGGAAGACAGTTGGGTCCTGCCCTTTCAGTAATGTTGAAGAAAATAACAATCTATGCTTTGTGAGAGCTTGCTGGATGCCCCAAGTAGTGGTTGTAATATTACATCATTGTTTCTCAACTTTTTTATCCTTATCGATACACCTCCTTAAAATTTTAATACAACTGATAAGCCCTGTATTTGTGTATTATAGCCCTTGAGAAGGCCACAAACCATTGCAGTATCTTCCAGATATTTTCAAACTCCCCAAAACCAATTTTAGCCCCCGTTGAGAATGCATACCTTATATATCATCTCACTTGAATCCTGCAGTGTAGTTCCCACTGTCCCTGTTTCCCCTTTAGGAGACTTAGATTAAGGAGTGTTCCATAGTTGTATAACTAATAAATGGAAACCCAGGACCTGGGCAGTCTGTTTCCAGGGAATTTATTCCTTGTCAGATCTATGTTCTCTTTTGAGGAAGTTCCAGGTTGTAGCAAGGATTAACTCAGTCACCTGACAAAGCTGAGCTGCCACAGGAGATCCCTGATTCCAGATTGCTCCTAAGAGGGGACTATAGGGGTGGTAGAGGCTCTTGAAAAGATGCCATCTGATGGAGGCCTGGAAAATGGTTAGAACACACACCGGAAGAAGGGTACATGAAGTGCTTTGTTTCTCTCTTGTAACTTACCACAGTCACTAGTTGTGTATGACTACCAATGTGATCTTTTTAGCATTGTGGTCACCTTGTCCCGTAAATGCCTTCCCAGTCTGTGCTGGGTCTTTAGCACTGGGGAACTTTTTGCTGACAGTGTTTGAATTTCTTAGTCCAATCCCGTAAATGCCTTCCCAGTCTGTGCTGGGTCTTTCAGGATGTCTTAGTCTTTAGCACTGGGGAACTTTTTGCTGACAGTGTTTGAATTTCTTAGTCCTACTTCTATGGAACGAGAGAGGAGACAGTTTTTAGAAGAATGCTAAACCAATAAAACTGAATTCATTCTTTCTATTAGCTAGGTTGCAGAAAGCAGTTGAGAGGAAACTTCAGGTCTGTATTCACTTCCTCAGAGTGGGGCTTTACACAACCCACTTAGCTACTTTGAGCTACTTTGCTCATACATAAAAAAGAGATAAGTCCTGTCCCCTCCTTAGAGGTTTTGAGACAAACCTGTGAGGTCAGAAGTATGGAGTAGAAGTCCTTTATGAACTGTCCTGCTGCCATGATTCAGGTGACGTGCTGTCTTAGAGCCGAGCTCATTCAGCCTTAACATGTGCTTTCTTGCTGTTTGTTTCTTTCTAGTTCTGAGAAATCAGAGACCATGATAAGGAATTGGCTGTTTATTTTTATCCTTTTCCCCTTGAAGTTCATAGAGAAATGTGGTAAGTTTAAAAATGGCTTATCAGCTTTGTAAAAAGAGAAATTATGGAAAAAGTATCCTGGCTTATTTGTCACCAAAGGTTTAGTGCCCTCCAGGACACACATGTCTGCCTGCCGCTCGCCCAAGGGCAGTAGCCAGACTCAAGTCTGCAGTCTTTGTTTTTACATTTTACAAAGAGCCAGATGGTCCCAAGCATAGTTGACCTTTTGTCCTGGGGTTCCTTTTACATTTTCTGCATCAGCACAGATCTCAGTTGGTTCTTCAGTCAGACTGTACAATTGATTCTCAAAGACAAACTTGAGAACCTCACCACACTGAGATAATATCTGTAAAGAATAGCTTGTGCTTCTGCTCTGTCACCTTGCAGAGAGTTGTAGGTCCTGGGAGAAACTAGGGAGACAGATTAAGGTAGTCACCTTACAAATGATTCTGCCAGGCCCAGACATCTGAGGAGTCTGCCTGGCATCACCCTGTAAGAGAAGAAAATGTTTCCCTTCAAGAAGATTAGAACAGGTTACAGCAGCCCTGGCCACACAGAAAGAAGGCTGACATTGGAGTTTATACATCCTTGTCAGAGGACCCCTTCAAGTCCTTTTGTCATCCTAGCAATCTTTATGATACCCAAAATATTTCTGGTATTTCTTTATGAATAGCTTTGTTTAGCAATCACAGCATTCCAGACCCATTATTTTGATCATTAGCTGGGCTACTGTTCAAAAACAAATGTATCTTCAAGTCCCTGACTAACAATTTCCAGCAAACCTGAATCAAACAATAGAAATCCTACACATGTTCCCCAAAGCCACGCACACTGACTTCACCATTATGGTTATCTAGCCTCTTGATCTTTGAAAAAAATGATCATTTCTGACCAGCTCGTCCAGGTTTGTTAAATATCAGTCCTGTTCCTTTGCAGTCATACCTTAGAGATAAGTAGTTTCTAAGAAAGGAAAAGTCCTGACCGAGAGGCATGGTGTTTCTCCAGAGGGATGCCACAGCCGCACTCCAACCCTACTCAGTCAGACTGTCTAGAAACTGAATGTGTGTGATTGTCTGCGTGTGCAGGCATGCATATGTGTATATGCTGTACACAAATATACATATATATGTGCCTATGTACATAATGAATTTGTATTGGTCATTTTTCTGTTGCTGTGATAAAAATACTGACCCAAGCAATTTATAGAAGGAAGAGTTTATTTGATCTTACGGTTCCAGGGGAATTATAGTCCATCATAGCAGGGAGGCATGGTGGCTGGAGGTGGCTGGAGCAGGAGCAGCAGAAGCTAAGCTCTCACATCATCACACAGGCACTTGAAGCAACAGCAACTCGAGATCTGGCAAGGCTTAAGAACTCTCTAAGCCCACCCCCAGTGACGTGCTTCCTCCAGGATGGCCACACCTTCTAAAACCTCCCAAAATAGTGCCACCATCTGGGGACAAAATGTCCAAATACTTGGAGCCTATGGGGGACATTTTTCACTCAAAGAATAGCAGAAATAAGGCACACTTAGAGTCGCAGCACTCTGGGAGCTGGGGGAGGAAGACCACTAGTGTTCATGTGTTCCAGACAGCCTGGGCAGTATAGTGAGACCTATCCAAACAAAAAGCGCCAGCAGCATGGCTGGGATGAGGTGGGGTGCAGAACAGAAACAGCCAGTAGCAGTGGCTCAGCTCTGTCATGGCAGCTGCTCAGGAGCTGAGGCAGGAGGCTCACAAGTTCAAGGTCTGCATAGGCTATGGGACAGAATGAGTTCAAGGCCACCTGAACAACTTAGTGAGACCCTGCCTGAAAATTAAAAAATAAAAACATAAAAAGGGCTAAAGATGGAGCTGGGTGTAGATCACTTGCTCCTTGTACAAGGACCTGCATTCAACAACCAGTACTGCAAAAAAGGAAGGGAGGGAGGGAGGCAGTTCGGCTGATGGATTCCCTTTAGGGGAAACAGGGTGGTCTCACCATGGTTCAGTTGGTAATTCTGATAACAGCACAAAGAAGCACCTACTTGCATCTTCCTGGGGCTGGAGAGATGGCTCAGCGGTTAAGAACACTGGCTGCTCTTGCAGAAGACCCAGGTTTGAATCCCAGCACCCACATGGCAGCTAACAACTGTCCGTAACTCCAGTTCCAGGGGATCTGACAGCCTCTTCTGACCTCCGCAGGCATTGCACAACACAGGTGCACTTACTTACACGCAGGCAAATCATGCATACACATAAAATAAAATAATAAATAAAAAATGTTTTTTAAAAAAGATGTGCCTTCCCAAGATGTGACACAGCTTCCCATCTGCCTCTTCTTTTGGACTAAAACTGCCCTGCAGTTATAAAGTGATGGTAATAGCAAAAGCCAACAGGTATTTAGCACCCAGGCCATGTAGAAAGCTTGCTGTAAACACTGCTGCATTTTATCTTCACAGCAACCCTGTGAGACAGGTCTTATTCCACTCGTTTTACAGGGCAGACTGTACAGATGTAGGCTCAGAGGTTAAGTATCATGGTCACACAGCGAGGAAGTGTCAGAGCCAGGATGAAACTGTGACTTGAGAACCTAGTGTCTCAGCTGCTGAGCACTGTTTTCTATGGCACTGATTGAGGAGGAAATAAACATTCTTTGATCTGGTTCTTTAAGAGCTCCTATTTTCCTACTTCAATATGCAAAGGCTAGGAAATCTAAAGCCATGTGAATTTCCTACTAAGAATTCTAGGGACCAGAGTTATAGGTAGCTTCCTGAAATCCCCTTAAGTGTTCCTGGGACTGCCTATCTGATATCGTCCTGAGCTTTAAATAAACATTTAATAGAAAAGAAATGTAAGTCCTGCACCTCTCTAGCTGGGCTAGCCCAGAACAAAGCCTCAGATTGATATTGGAGCAAGGCATAAAAAGCAATGAGTATAAAAAGTGGGACAGAGTTACCTGAGCAGCCTCCCAGCCCTGGGGCTAAGCAAGGTAAGGGAGAAACCAACCTGTCCTAGGGACCCACCCAGGCAAGGGAACTAGAGACCATGGACAATGAGAGTCAGAACTGGGAGACTTGAATCCCTGGGACGGCCACCATCTGCATTTACAAGTGGGGGCTGAGATGAAGAAGGCAGCTCAGATGTGATCTGAGAGGTTCCAAGTGGTAGAACTAGGCTCGGGAATGTGAGTTTTAGGTTGATGACCACCTTAGGAGATGACATTGCTATCTCAGGAAGTGTCCAGGCAGAGGCTGAAGAACTACAGGTAGAAATACCAAGGAAAAAAATCAGTAGAGGAGGTTGAAGTGGATAACATGGAAGTTCCCTTCCAAATGGAGTTCTAAAACTTCGGGTTCCAGTTCTTCACCTTCTGCCTTGGAGGGTCCTGGGTGGAGGCCTGCAGCTTCTGTCCCTGTGTGCATCTTCATCTGAGTTGAGCACTCCCTCCACTGCCCGAACCCCTCCCAGTCTAGGTTCATGACCTTGACTTCTAGGCTGTGCTTAGCCTTTCTGAAGTCTGAGGTGGGGGAGGTGAGATGGGCTGGTACGTCATGGGGACACCCTGTAGGGCAAAGACAAGGGAGAGAGGCTAACCAAGAATACAGAAATTGCTCAAAGAAGCTAGCTAACCTTGGCCTGTGGCCACGGTATGCTGAAGTATTTGACTTCCCAAGATGACCTTTTGGATTTTGATGATTGAGATTGGGCCTTGGACATGCTAATTAAATGCTTTACCTCTGAGCTACATTCCAGCCCCGCAAGATGGTTGTCCAAACTTGTTTCTTCCCTCATCTTGCAGGCCTCTTTGTCTACCTTCTGAGTTGGCACCTTAATACCAAAAATCAATCCCTGATAGTGAAAAGTGCATCCTTCCCCACAGTCTTCTAATCCCCAGCACAGTCAGCCTCAAGAAGGTTGAGCTCAGTCTGCAAGAGAGCCCAAAAGGTTCTTTAAGAACATGTTAGCAGGCTGGAGAAATGACTCAGATTAAGAGAGATGCTCAGTTAAGAGCATGTACTGCTCGTGCAAAGGGCCTGAGTTCAGTTCTGAGCAGGTGTGTCGGGTGACTCACAACCACATGTAATGCCAGCTTCAGGGGGATCCAACACCCCTGGCTTCCATGGGCACCTGCACTCATATGCACAAACACACACACACACACACCACACACACACACACACACACACACACACACACACACACTTAAATAGATAAAGTAAATCTTTTTTAAAAGCCAGGCCCTGTGTGTCTGTAGGAATGAAACTAGACCGGTTTTTCCAGAGCCACCTTTATCTTGAGCAGAGGGGACCCCTGTGCTGTCCATCTGCAAAGGTGGCTCCAGTCTGCCTTTACAATCCCAGATAATGGTTGAATTTCTTCTTGATAATTTTTGGGCCCTGTGGTTCTCTAGATAAAGTAAATCTTTTTTAAAAGCCAGGCCCTGTGTGTCTGTAGGAATGAAACTAGACCGGTTTTTCCAGAGCCACCTTTATCTTGAGCAGAGGGGACCCCTGTGCTGTCCATCTGCAAAGGTGGCTCCAGTCTGCCTTTACAATCCCAGATAATGGTTGAATTTCTTCTTGATAATTTTTGGGCCCTGTGGTTCTCAAACTATTTCTAGGTTAACTCAGCTTATCTGTAGAGGGGAAAGAGGAGAAGGAGGAAGCTCCAGCACTTCCTGCTCCGGCCTGTGTGGTAGTCTGGCTCTGGCTCTGGCTCTGGCACAGATTGGGGAGGAGCTTAATGTAGTGGGAAAATCCAGTTTCCTCTTTTTTCCCACCTAGAAAGTAGAATTGTCAGTGAATCAGGAGTTTAGATGTCAGGGGACTCTTGCCCACTTCACTTTGTGGGCTAAGCTCTCCAACCTGATGGCTCATGTTATTGACTTGGGTTCTTCCAGAGTCAACTGTCAGTCTCACTGTTCCTCCCACTGTGAAGCTGGAAAATAGCAGCTCAACCAACGTCAGCATCACCCTTGGGTAAGTTCTCAGGCCCAGTTCTGTCCTTGGCCCCAAGTGGGCTGAGTCTGCATGTTCTTCAGATAAGACTTTCTTTCCTCTTAGCTGTAGGACAAAAAAAAAGGGGGGGGGGTGCAGCGCATGACTGCAAAGCAGGGTCCCAAAGTTTCCTTAGAAACACGAACTGCTTACTCTAGTGAAGAGAATCCTTGAGTGATTGGCAGATGATGCCAGACTTGAAGACCCTTTCCAAGACTAACTATTTGAGCAGAGCCCTGAAGATCAAGAGGCAAGGAACTAAACTAACCAGCACTGCTGAGGTCACCTGCCAAAGCAGAAATGACAGTATCAGGGGACCCCATGCATGTCATGTTTATGCTTAGCCTTTGTCCAAGCATCTTGCCAGCAGACACCTGGTGTGAAAGTCCTGCTTGACTTTGTCCAGCTGTGCCAGACGACTGTCCTCTGTGTTCATGGCTTTCACTGTTTCACCATGTTCATGCCTCCCAGCATGACAGTGCCCTGCGCCCTGAGAAGAATATCGAGAACTCTGTCCTTTTCTCTGTTCCTCACCTCTCCTGGAAGATATGATCTCAAACCCAAGCTTTGGTTCCCAGGCCCCGTCACAGCCCTGCTGTTCTATTCCCTGGTCCTGTACCTTCATACACCCACCCCATGTAAACTGTCCTAGCCATCCACTTACTCAAGTCTCCCCTCTCCAGAATCCTTGACTGGCTTCCCACTCTCCTCTAAATGAAATCCCAGCCTCTGAGCCCAGATTTGAGACTCCCATGGGCTGCTCCCAGAAAGCCTCACTTCATTTAGTCCAGTGCTGATCTTCACCTTATTCAGACCTGAACCCTCTAAGGAGCCTTTCCCACGGAAACAAGGAATCATAGGCCTGTCCCCTCTATTCGCCTTGTGTGTTGTTCAGGGCCAGCTTTCCATTTTCTTGTGTTCTTACCCTACCCCACAGGGTTGAGCACATAACACATAGCACGTAGCACATCCTGCTCCTGATTGCTAGAGAAATGAAGGCCCGTGCAAAATTCAGAGGATTAGTTGATAACTCATAGACTGACTTCCCAGCAATAATCAGACTTTTATCCTTCACAGGCATCCATTAAATACAACCTTGGTGATCACTTTTGAAATCACATTTCGTTCAAAAAATATTACCATACTTGAGCTCCCTGATGAAGTAAGTAACAGACTTTAACTGATGCTTAGGGCAATGCTAGGCAACAGACAGATTTAAAAAGAGTTTGTGGAAATAGGCTGCCTAGGCTGCCCCTATTCCATCATTCTAGAAATCTGTGATCTGGGCTTTGTTCTCTTTGAGAATGAGAGTTTTCTTTTCAATTGGGTACTTAGATTAAGGATTTACAAAATGAATACAAGTCAGGATGAACAGCTTTTTGAGATCAAAGGTACAGCCTAACCATAGGTAATAACAAGGTACAGTGTACAGTCAGGCCCCAAACAAGAAGCCTGAAGCAAAGGTGTTTCTGAGAATGTATCTTTTTTTTTTTTTTGGTCTTTTTGAGACAGGATCTCCCTGTAGCACCAGCTGGCCTGGAACTCACTATGTAGACCAGGATGGCTTGGAACTCACAGAGATCTGCCTGCCTCTGCCTCCCCGAATGCTGGGACTGAAGGCGTGCACCACCATGCCCTGGCAGAGAATGTATCTTAAGGTAGTTTCGTTTGTTTGTTTGTTTGTTTGTTTGTTTTTGTTTTTTGAGACAAGGTCTCACTTTATAGCCCTGGCTGGCCTGGCCTGGAATACCCAGCTTTAAGGTGGTTTTTTCAAGGCTCTGATACTCAAGAGCATCCATATACAAGCAGCATTGGCCTTGTTAGATACCTTTTATGGAGTCAGGGTGTTCTCAGTATAGTGTTTGCCTAGTGTACATGAAGCTCTAGGTTCAATCCATAGAACCATCACAAAAACCAAAAGGGATGGATGGAAGGAAGGAGAGAGAGAGAAACTTTTAGAAATAAAGATCCTCAGGCCCTATCCCAGACTTACTGATTCAGAGTCTACTTGTTAGCAAGATAATTGGGGTCCACATTAAAGTTTATGGAGCACTGTTCCGAGACACTATTAGTTTGGTGTCATTTGCACAACCCAGTCCCTGAGGCTATCTAGTATAACAGTGATGATTATTCATAGCTTTCTATGGCTGCCCTGCTTCCTCCTTACCAAGGGTGTCATTCAGCTAGACTCTCATAGGGAGGTGGCAACTCAGAGTACATAAGGATTTAAAAAAACAAGCAAGTGCTACAGGCCTTGTAATCTGTGTCTTAGCTATTCAGGAAGCTTAGGCAGAAGGATCACAGGTTCAAGGCCAGCCTGAGTAACTTAGTGAGACCCTGTCTCAAAATAAAGTGGGAAATAGGGGCTGGAGAGATGGCTCAACGGTTAAGAACACCGACTGTTCTTGCAGAAGACCCGGGTTCATATCCCAGCACGCACATGGCAGCTAACAACTGTCCGTAACTCCAGTTCCAGGGGATCCAACAGCCTCTTCTGTCCTCCACAGGCCTTGCACAACACGCGTACACTTACCTACATGCAGGCAATACAAGCATACACATAAAAATAATTTTAAAAAATTTTTTTAGAGTGGGAAATAAGCTAAGGATAGAGGTCAATGGTAGAGCACTTACCTAGCATTCATAAGGCCCTGGGTTCAATCCCCAGTACAGAAAAAAAAAAAAAGGGGGAAGTCTGGTGACTATAGTTAACAGTAAGGTATTATATATCGTTATGCACCAAATCATAACATTTTGGTCAAGGAAGGACCACGTATAGGACAGTGGCTCTTTTTTTAAAGATTTTATTATTTCTTTTGTTTTTGTTTTTTTCTGGTCTTTTTGAGACAGGGTCCCTTTAGCCCCAGCTGGCCTGGAACTCACGCTATAGACCAGGCTGGCCTTGAACTCATAGAGATCCACCTGCCTCTGCCTCCCGAGTGCTAGGATTAAAGGCATGCACTACCATGCCTGGCCCTAAGATTTTATTATTTATGTGTATGAGTGTACTGCCTACATGTATGTAAGTAAAGCCTGTGTGGTGCAGTGCCCACAGAGGTCAGAAGAAGGCTTCGGATCCCCTAGAACTGCAGTTACAGATGGTTATTAGCCACCATGTGGGTGCTGGGAATCAAATCTGAGTCCTCTGCAAGAGCAGCCAGTGCTCTTAACCACTGAGCAATCTCTCCAGCCCCAGAACAAGTGGTTCTATAAGGTTATATTACCTAGTGATATTATAGCCACTTTCATTTGTTAAGGCATTTACATGATCATGAAATCACCTAATGATACGTTTCTGAGTATATCCTATTGTTAAAGGGCATGTGACTAAACTTGAAACCTGAGGAGACTAGATCTTCAGTGTTCCCAATGTTAATTAGCTTCATTTAATCATATTGCAGTGAATACATATGTGAAAATATACTATGCACTACAACAAAAAAAATTTTTTTGTCCATCATACCCTAATAAATATGGGGGAGGAGCAGTAAGAGAAAAATGGAGGGATGACTTCGAAGGCCATGAGGCCTGGGTGCTTGTGAAATGGGCTACAAATCAGTGTGGGTTTCCCCAGCAAGCAAAGAGCAGTCAGAGGGACTTCAGAGTGTCCCACCAAAGGGATCCTTTGTAAGAGGTAATCTCACACACCCCTATGCCCTTGGGTACTACTGGTTATTACCCAGGGCAATGGCTCTCACACACACAGTCTGAGGTGTGAGGCCAGCATGCAGCACAAGGAAAGACGTGGTCCTAACAGCAGATCCGACATCAGACTTCTAAGCTCTGCTTGATCCACAGGTCACATGCAGACTCTCAGAGGAACAGATACCAACTGCTTACTTTAATGGCAAACATCTAAGGAAAGTGTTCTCTTTAAAAAATAAATGAAAATCAAGCATAATGTCACACGAAAGAAGCTCAACACTAAAAAGTCTGGACTATGTGATTCCTTGTGTATAAAATACAAAAAGTTGAATCCATGGTGTCAGAGCAGTGGTTATCCTCAGCGTCAGGAGACTGGAGGGGAGCAGAATGGGGCTTCTGGAGTGTTGGAGAAACTCATTTCTTTTTTTTGGGGGGGGGGCTCTTTTTGAGACAGGGTCTCCTTGTAGCCCCATCTGATCTGGAACTCACTATGTAGACCAGGCTGACCTTGAACTCACAGAGGCCCACCTGCCTCTGCTTCCTGAGTCCTGAGATTAAAGGCCACACCCGTTGGAGATACTTATTTCTTGATCTGGGGGCTGGATGTGTGCACTGGATGTGTGCACTAGACATTTGATCAGGCTGTGATGTGTGTACTTTTCTGTATGTATGTTGTAGGTAATTTTTTAATAATTGACAGTAGGAGTCAAGGTCAAATCATTTATAGAAGATGACCTTATAGGCACCTGAACCAGCTTTTTAGACTACTGTATCACTGGCCCCTCAGACCAGTGCTACCACTCCTGTGCCATACCATGATATAGGAAGCCAGTAGTTAGAACCTGAGAGTCATGTGCTTTAGGAGGTTGGGCTGGGAGCCTTGGGTAGGGGACTTCAGCCAGACATGGCATTTTCCTCATTTGCAGGCTTAGGATTCATAATATCTTCTCGACCATACTCAGGATTAAAAGCAATAGCAGCAGTAAAAAGAGCCGGGGGTTCACCTGGCTGGTTAAAAGCATTCCATAAAAGGTGGCAGTTGCTATCATTCTGAGGTGTTTTGCTGGTCAGTTTCTGGTTGATTTCTTCCTGTCCAGTTCCAGGGGGATTTAGTGGACACTTATAAGTAAAAAAATAACATTACAGCCAGGCGTGGTGGTACACACCTTTAATCCCTTCACTCGGGAGGCAGAGGCAGGTGGATCTCTGTGGGTTCAAGGTCAGCCTGGTCTACATAGTGAGTTCAAGGCCAGCTGGGGCTACTGGGAGACCCTGTCTCAAAAAGACCAAAAAATAAATAATAATAATAATAATGCAAGGAAACTCTAGAAAATCAGAAAAGTTGAGATGATAAGGAAGTAAGAGAGGGGCTGGAAAGATGACTCAGTGGTTAAGAGCAATGGATACTCCTTTAAAGGACACAGGTTCAGTGCCTAGTATCCACATGGCAGCTAACAACCATCTGTAACTCCACTTTCAGGACGTCCGATGCCCACTTCTGGCTTCATAATAATGCAAGGAAACTCTAGGAAATCAGAAAAGTTGAGATGATAAGGAAGTAAGAGAGGGGCTGGAAAGATGACTCAGTGGTTAAGAGCAATGGATACTCCTTTAAAGGACACAGGTTCAGTGCCTAGTATCCACATGGCAGCTAACAACCATCTGTAACTCCACTTTCAGGACGTCCGATGCCCACTTCTGGCTTCCATGGGCATTGCATACACAGATGCACTTACATGCAGGCAAAATACTCATGCACATATAAGTTAAATAAATAAATAATTTTGCTGGGCATGGTGGCATATGCCTTTAGTCTCAACACTCAGGCAGCAGAGGCAGGTAAGATCGAGGTCAGCTCTGTCTACATAGTGAGTTCCAAGCCAGCTAGGGCTACAGAGAGACCCTGTCTTTAAAAAATAAACAAATTAATTAATTAATTAATTAATTAATTAAAGCCAAGAGTGATGTGTGTGGTCAAGGTGCTGCCTGCCAAGTCTCAGACTAGAAATTGCACTGCTGCCAGCTATAACTCTAGCACTTTGATTGCCACAAGAGCGAGGTCAGCTCTGTCTACATAGTGAGTTCCAAGCCAGCTAGGGCTACAGAGAGACCCTGTCTTTAAAAAATAAACAAATTAATTAATTAATTAATTAATTAAAGCCAAGAGTGATGTGTGTGGTCAAGGTGCTGCCTGCCAAGTCTCAGACTAGAAATTGCACTCCAGGCTTTGTAGCCACCATTTACATTGTTTCCATTGTTCTGCCAAAGCCCACTCATTTCTAGGGCTAAGACTAAAAAGGCAGGTGGTCTTAAAGGGTCTTCAGTAAGAAACCATTGCTAGTCTGGCGTGATGAATGTGGTAATCCATCCCTCCAGAGGTGAAAGCAGGATGATCTCCAAGTCTAGGCCAGATTAGCCTATGTAGCAAAACCCTGCCTGGAAAGAAGAAAAAAAGAAGCCAGGTAAGGGGACCTATGTTTGTAATCCCCGCACACAGGAGGTTGAGGCAGGGGGATTGCTGTGAGTTTGAGGCCAGTTGGGACTACATAGTATGTTCCAGGCCAGCCAAAGCTGCATAGCAGGACTCTGTCTCAGAAAACCAGAAAAGGGGGCAGAGAAAGAAGGTACTGTTTAGTGTGCCACATTCTTGTGACATTTGCACAAGACTGAGGGTTCAATGAGATGTCACCCAGCTTCCTGCTGCTCTGAGGGGATTTCAGTGTGTTGCGTTGAATGACTGGGAAGTCAGATGGCACAGGAAGGCTTCCAAATCCATTTTCCAAGAGCAAAATGGCCATGAGAGCATCTTATGCATGTACCTCTCTCTTTGTCACTCAGCGCTCAGTGTGGATGGGGCAAGCATCCTTTTGTGAATTTCAAGAAGCATTATAATAATGGAAATAGAAATAATAAGGTTCTCACAGTGCAGTCATGATAGGACGCACTCCTAGCTTACCATGTGCCCAGTCTGTACAGAAGGTTTCTGGACATAGTGTCATTCAAAGCAGCCTTATGACACAGCACTAGTGTTATCCCCTTTTATGGAAGAGAGACTGAGATCACATGGCTAATGAGAAGAAGAAATCCATCCCACCCTCCCTCAGTGGTTAGAGAGGACCAAAGTTCTGCTCAGAAAGCCAGATGGAAAAGTAGTGGAGGTTCAAGTTGGCTGGCCCAGTGCTTCTGCCCTTAAATAGTAAATTCCTAGAGGGTAGAGCCAAATGTGATCGGTCCCTACATGCACTGCTGTAGTTCACAGCCTGCAGCCAGACCCTGGGCAGAGGCCCCAATGACTGTACATGGCCACAGACTAAATTCAGTTTTCCTTACAGGTTGTAGTGCCTCCCGGGGGGAAAAATTCCTCTTTCCAAGTGACTTCTCAAAATGTTGGACAAGTGACCGTTTATCTGCATGGAAATCATTCCAACAAGACCGGGTAGGCTGGCCTCTACCCTACTCATGTGGCCTTGGTGATGGGAAGGGAGGCAATGCACAGGCATATGGGGGCTTCCACCAAGAGCCTGTTGTCAACTCATCCTGACCCCAAATCCCTTTCCAGCCCCCGGATACAGTTCTTGGTGGTCCGCAGCAACATCATTAGCATCATAAACCAGGTGATTGGCTGGATCTACTTCATGGCCTGGTCCATCTCCTTCTATCCTCAGGTGATCAAGAACTGGAGACGGAAAAGGTAACCTGCCAGGCTGCAGGCTTACATGGAGCTGCAGACAGACAACCCCTCTGCACTCCTGCTCTGCACTCCCCTCTGCCTGCCCACCAGAAACTGTCCTGATGGGAAAGTCTCTGGAAGAACTGGGGTGGGACTTCCAGTGCTGGGTTTTTGGTCCCTTGCCCAGTTCAGCCCCTCCCTGTGGAAACAGTGACATATAAGGCTAAGCCAGAACAGGCTGGGTAAGGTGAAGTGTCATGTACCCTTCAGCCCCAGAGACTAAGCACTTTTACAGTGACTTTAAAAAGATAAAAGCAGGCTTGGGGTCAAGGACACAGCCTCCTGTTGTCACCCTGCCACATGGGTCTCCTAGGATGCTCCCAAGCAGTGATCCAGAGAAATGGGTGCTGCCTCTCCCCTGGAAGCCTCCAGGAAAAACCTCCAGTGTGCGGGAGGGAAGGAGAAAACCAATTCTCAACAGGGCCAGTTGGGTAGCATCAGTCATGGTATGGAGAGTCACCCAAGGATGGTGCTAAGCCTTTTCTTCCCTGTGTGCTAGGAGCTGTATCCCCTCCCATCCCAAGGGTTTCAGGCCTTACCCCTGACGTGTGTCATCCTTTCCCCACCTGCAGTGTCATTGGTCTGAGCTTTGACTTCTTAGCCTTGAACCTGACAGGCTTCGTGGCCTACAGCGTGTTCAACATTGGCCTCTTATGGGTGCCCTACATCCAGGTATGACACTGCCCGCCCCTTCAGCCTGCTTGAGCTCCTCAGTGGCCATGCTGTCCCTTATCTCCCACCTTCTCATTCCCCAACAGGAACAGTTTCTCCTCAAATACCCCAACGGTGTGAACCCTGTGGATAGTAATGACGTCTTCTTCAGCCTGCACGCAGTCGCCCTCACTCTGATTGTCATCCTGCAGTGCTGTCTATATGAGGTGAGGGATGAGGCCTGGTAGCCTAGCCTACCATTGGCTGCCAAAAGCCAACCCCCACCACCACTCAACCCCCTGAAGAGGATGACATGATGCCCTGCCTTCCAGGGCTGAGATTTGGGGACGATTTTCCCATCCTGCTGAGGGGGTATGAGTGAGGTTCCTGTGGTAAAAGGGAAGGCAAGGTCATTCCCCATGGAGTGAGAGGAACTGTGAGCAGAGTTAGGAACTCTGTCCAACAGGAACATGGACTTAGCCCTCTAGCAGAAGCACTATCTGGGGTTTGGGGTGCCAGCTCCCAGGAGGTCAGGAGGAACATGGGACTTACCCTTATAGCTGAAGTGCTGTCTGGGGTCTCAGCATGGGAGGAGGGCACCTTTAAGACCTCCCTGTGGTGTGCCACCTCCCTTCTTACACCATGCAGTGCCAGCGGGGGCTGTGTAGCCACCTTCATGAAACTCCTAGGTTTTCTTAACCTTCCCTGCAACACTCTGCTTAAGGAGCCCTACTTTGAGGCCATGTCTAAAGAAAAGCTGGGGTTGGGGACAGATCCCAAGATCTTCAGGCTCCATCCAGGTTATGGAAGGAGTTGACACTAAGGCTGGATGAGGTGCTGGACCTCCAGCATTGGGGTTTAGGCCCTACACTCTTTGCTCCCTCCAAATGAGCTCTGAGGTATCCAGCTCTGCAGAGTAGGAACAAAACATAGGGAGGAGCTGGAGAATCCAACATAAATGGAGCAGGAACTCTTGACTATCAGAAGGTAAGATTGGTGCTGGGGACCTCACACCTCATCCAAGCCTAAGTGTTGACTCATTCATGACCCAGATGGAGCCCAAGAATCTCTACAATTGATCTCCTACCCTGATCTTGGGTGGACACAGCCCCAGTGTCCTTTGCCCTACTTAGCCAAGGCCAGGCTTTCGTGTCCAGTGCTCTCCTTCCACCCATCCTGAACCCCTTTCTAAGCCTGTCCAAAGCCATCCCTTCCTAAGACTCCGAAGCAGCCTGTGTCCCTATCTACAACCATACTCCTCCATCTCATCCTCAGCAAGGCAGCCAACGTGTGTCATGGCCAGCCATTGGCTTCCTGGTGCTCTCATGGCTCTTTGTCTTGGTCACCTTGATTGTGGCTGCAGTCGGTGTGACTACATGGCTGCAGTTCCTCTTCTGCTTCTCCTACATCAAGCTCGTCGTTACGCTGATCAAGTATTTCCCACAGGTACTCCAGGGCCTTCCTCCATTTCCACGTGGCTGGTAGTGTGAGAAGCGGGGGGTACTGAGCCTCGGCTCTGCTCCCATGGGGCAGCTTTTGTCAGCCAAGACAAGGGTGGAAAGCTACAGGGAAAACCAATGGGCAGAAAGCCAGTGGGTGTTGCTGCCTGTTCTTTTCTGGAGCCAGACTCACATGAGGAAGTCAGAGGAGGCTCTCAGACCTCACGCACCCTGGAGTCAGGGATTAGCCTTTCTGCCCCTTCCCAGTCTTTCCTAATGACTCGAGCTAAATATACACACACACACACACACACACACACACACACACACAGAGCCTCCTGTCACCTGCTGTAAGAGCCATCTATTAGGACCAGCAGCAAGGGAATCAAGCCAGATCAGGTAGAGTTGGGAGCTGACCACTGTGGCCACTTCCTGTGCAGAGATGTTCTCCCAGGAGCTCCCTCTGCACACTCCCACCAGTCCTTAATAATCAAAATCCTGGGGGCTTAGCCTTAAACATGTCTTTTCCCACAAGCATGATAACCCCAGGCTAAGGCCTAGTATGAAGGAGCTGCATACTTCCACACACAAAGCTAGAGCAGCCTTGAACTTATCCCCAACAGAGAAGCCTTGGTGCTGGAAGTCTTGTGTCCTGGGGGCTCAGGATACATTGGATAGCCAAGGGCAGGGCTAGACCCTGAGGGAGAGCAGCATGACTTCTGTGGACAGGGGAGTGCTTCAGGCAAAGCGGCTTGCATGGGAGACCTGGCTACTGAGCAGCATTGAGAATGTAGAAGCTGGGAAGCTAGGGCTAGGTCCCAGGAAACTTGGAAGGAGGGAATCAGGCTCTGGGTACCTTGTACGTGGGAAGGTTTGAGGCTGGGAACCTAGGGAAACAAGAGCACTAGTGGGAGACACATGGAATTGTCTGGAACTGGAGGAGGGCAGCAAGTATGGGATAGGATGATGAAGAACAGGAGGGGAACTAGAAGACCACCAAAAAGGCCAACATTTCTCTCCTGGGTGGTAGGAAAGGAGACGGTTCAAGTCAGAGATGCTCAGAGGGCACTGTGGGTTTGGAAGAAGGCTATGATGCTTAGGCATTTGGGAAGTGGGGAATGCCCACAAGAACAAGAAGCCCAAGAAGCCTGGGATCCCAACCAGGGCTGAGTTGGCAGCTAGGCTCACTTTACAGGCAGAAAAAACTAAAACAAGAACTTAGCAGCTTTCCCAAGTAGCCCAGTTCCAGTGCTGTAGCTAGATTCCACACCAGAAAGTCTGACTCCCAGCCATGTTCCTAAGCAATGTGGAGTCCAGGGCTGAAATCAGAGACAGAATCACAAGAGGCTAGATAAACCAGAGTAACAGGCAAACATAGAGGTGCACACCTGTAATCCTCATACATACAGTAATTGGAGGGCTGAGGCAGGAAGAGCATAAGTTCAAGGCCAGCCTGGGCTACACAGGGAAACTCTGGCTTTAAAAAAAAAAAACAAGGCTGAGGAAGAACTCGGCAGCTAAGAGCACATCTTGCAAAAGACCCAAGTTTGGTTCCTAGCACCCACATTGGGTGGCTCACAACTGTAAGTCCAAGGGATCTGATGCCCTCTCTTGGCTTTGGTGGGCACCTGCACGCACACATCTTTTAAATCTGCTCCTCCCTCCATTGGAGTCTGGAGGTACAGAAGGGAAAGGGAGGCTTCACTTGCCCTGCATGCAGATTAGGCCCCCAGGACCACCCAGACTTTTCTCTTGGCTGAGGCCAGGACTTCTCAGAGCCCAGAGGTCACAGTGTTCTTTGCAGCCAAGAGCTTTGTACACGAGTGGGAAGTATCAGCAGAGCTTGTTTAGAGTGGCAGTCACCAGGCATGTGTGGTTTTGCCCAGCCCCCTCACAGCCTGTCTGTCCCAGGCCTACATGAACTTCTACTACAAAAGCACTGAGGGTTGGAGTATTGGCGGTGTGCTCCTGGACTTCACAGGAGGCAGCTTCAGCCTCCTCCAGATGTTTCTTCAGTCCTACAATAATGGTGAGTCTACCAGAGCCACCCCCACCCTGTGGGTGAGAGCATGGGGTGGGGTACTTCCTGGAAACCCCCAGCCCATCCAAGCTCCTAAGGTGAAGCTTACTCAGGGAACTCTGCAGGTGGAGGATTTGCAGCTTCCTGGGCAGATGGGGGTGGTGCCCACAGCCCCACACATTCTACCTGCTTTAGGAGCTGCCAGCCTAAAACCAGATTCTGTCCCCTCTGGCTATTAACAGACCAGTGGACACTGATCTTCGGAGACCCAACCAAATTTGGACTTGGCATCGTCACCATCTTCTTTGATGTTGTCTTCTTCATCCAGCACTTCTGTTTATACAGAAAGAAACCAGGGTATGACCAGCTGAACTAGCACCCAGAGACCCAGTGTAAACAAGCCAGGGGCTGGGCCGTGGTAGGGAAGGCTGTACCCAGCAAAGGCCGAGAAGCAGCTGGTGTACCAGGCTGGCGCCATGTGCTGACAGAGAAGCACTCTCTTCCTCTGGGCCAAATGCCTTAAACCACCCTGCCTTCGCCCAGGCCCCTCCTAGGCCACAGAGGACCCACTCTGGGACACACACCTGACTCTGCTCCAAAACTGAAAGTCAGGCTTCAGGTGGCATGTCCCAGCCCCTGCTGGGAGGCACCCAGCCCTCCTGCATCTTGATGTGCCATCTCTTTTCTTTAAGGCTTCAGGCAGCACACACAGGTCCAGACAGCCATCCCAGGCGGAATTGGGCACCAAGCTTACAGCCAAAGGCCTTGCCCCTAACCACCAGTGTTTCTGGGAGCAGCTCGAAGGGCTAACTTTGCAGCTGGGAGAGCCAAGGGTGCTTTGTTCCACTGCTGTGTTCCCAGGGACCAAGCAGCCAGGTGCTGTGGCCAATGGACTCAAAGGTGCTGGTGCCAGTGGTGGAGGGGAGAGGACTGTGGAGTTAGGCCTTGGGGTCCTTTCTCTGATGACCAGATTTCTGATACTCATTCTAATGTAACTCCACTTCAGTAACTGCAGAACGGGTGGCTCAGGCCAAAGCCTGCTAGAGTATTTCTGACCCTTGAGGTGCCTGCCAGATGAATTCTGAAGTGGACCTGCCCCTGCTGCCCTCTGGAACTTTATCATACAAAGTCAGACATTATGCCCAACTCCTTTCAGATTTTTTTGAGGATGTTTTAAAATGGCTTACTTTCTTTTGCCCTCTTTCCTACCTCCACTTTCTGAGTTAGATGATACCCCATCTGAGCACCCCCCACTGCTCCTAACCCTGCCCCATGCACAAATGGAGCAGGCACTCCACCAACCTGTGCCTTAGAAGCAGTCGACTAAGTAGTATCTCCCCTTGGAGGGGAGGGGAGACCCCTTTCCCCCACCTTCCCCAGGCAAACTGAGACACTCCCAATTTTTTTTGGCTGTTGAGACACAGAACTAGAGCCCATGTCCCATAAATAATGCTTATAGTCCCAACCCTAACCCAAAACCTCCTTCCTTCCCATCCCAAGTTGTCCTTTCTATACCAGGAGGGGAAGGGCCCAGGATGTGCCTTCAGTTTGTCAATCTGTTTTTTTCTCTAAATTGAGGGATCCTTCTCTTTTTTTCTTTTTGTTTCATTCTGTTGTACCTGTGTCTTTAATTAAAACTTGGCTTGTTTCCTCTCTGTACACTCAGAGCATTTGCTAGATGGCCTTCAGAACCAAGCCCATGGGACTTGGGGAGCTGACCTTGCTTACCTATGTGCAGAAATGCATAGGGCTTTGGGGTGCACCAACCAGAGGTGGCTGCATGCTGACCCCACACTCGATCAGGGAAGCCCTCTCAGGTGTACAAGATGCTTGTCCAACCAGAGCCAGGTAGGTTTGTTTCACAGTGCCTTACCTGCCAGTTCCAAGGTTCCATCAGCATGTTCAAGTTATGGGTGTGAGCAGGGGTTGGAAGGTTTGGGGGGCATGATACCACTGGAAGCAGGGATGGCAAAGGTCTTACTTTGCAGACTGTAACATCTGTAACAACTAAGGTCTTGTTTCCTAGAGTCGAGATTGCAGCCTAGTTAAACCCATAGCGCTCACTCTTTATATACATAAAATGTGTTACTGGGATGGACACAGAAGTGTATGTCTGTAATCTTAGCTACATAGGAGGTGGAGGTAGGACAAGTTCAAGGCCAGTTTGGACAACATAGACAACACAATAAGAGTCTCTGTCTCAAAAAGGGAAAGCTGGGAATGGGGCTCACTGGTAGAATGCTTGCCTAGCATGCATGCATGAGGCCCTGGGTTCAGCCTCCAGCACCAGAAGAAAAAGGAAAAAAAGTGCTATTGGGTGCTATACTTTAAAAACAGGAGACTTTTAATTTCTGGGCTTTTTATTTAGGGGAAGGAGTGCTATGAATCAAACCCATGTTAGACAAGTGCTCTACCACTGAGCCACACCTCCAGCATTCTGGGCTTTCCGGTACATTTTCCAGCTTGGCTGTGCTAGGCAAGCCCCCGAATGGCATCCCCCAGCTCACCATCTAGCTAGCTCTCAGCCACTGAGAACATCTGGGGTTTTCCCCTGGCTGTGGCTAAAGGTGCTTTTCCCATGAATCTGAGTGCCATGAGGCCCATCTCAAGTGGGAGCTGAAACTAGGCTCCATGAGAGGCACTTGAGGATGTCACAGTGACACCCGAGACGACAAACCCCAGACTTAACACCCCAATTCCATGAAGGTGCTTCCAGAAACTTCCACAAATAAGGCCTTGCCAAGCACAGCGAATTCCCAACTGAGACTTCTTAGGTTCCACCAACCACATATTTTCTGGGCAGCTGGGTCTTGGAGAAGTTGGGCTTTGTCTGAGAGAAGCAGGGGATGTTAAAACTAAAGCACTTGTCTCAATCCATCCTCAAATATCCCCACCCTGTGCCTCAGCAGAGACCCCTCATGAATTCCAGCGTCATTTATTGGGCACAAGTGTTGAGCATGGGGCAGCACCATACTGCCCCGTTTCCACGGTAACCAACATATGGCTTGGTCACATGCTACAATTTGCTGCTCCCAGGTGTGAATTAGTAAGCTAAATTCAAAAGAATTGGCTTTTCCAAATAGTAAGATATAAACACTTCATATCAAACTTGTGACTAAAAAAATACAAAAGTTAAAACCCCAGGTGTAGAGAAAAATGGCAATCCTGAGAGCTACTCTGAAATGTCAGCCTTGAACCTTGTCTAAATGGGATAAGCAGGCAAACCCCAGGGAGGCCAGCACCCACCTGGGGTGTGAAGGTATGGGAACCTGCCAGTATCCATCCAGGTGGCCTTCCTGGTGCCTCTGACATGTGGGTCCAGCCACAGGCTGGGCACCATGACGGGAAGAATGGAGAGTGGCACTCAGCAGGTGACACAGGGTAGGGCCAAGCCCTGCAGCAAGAGCAAATCAGGGAAAATGTCCCCTGCTGCAGCAAGGCAGCCCTTGAGGCCTGAGCCTGTGGTCACTGCAGACTGGCTATGACTCAGCTCCAGGCCTGTATTTCCAATCTTCAATGTCCAAGGGAGAGAGCTGGTCCCATGGCCTCAGACTCGGGGTGGAGGAGAAGGACGGCTGGCTCAGGCCCAGGGATCGGCTACTGCTCCTCAGAGGGGCCCAGCACACAGCAGAAGCCAGAACAAGGGGCAGACAGAGCATGGAAGTGGTGTCACTGTACAAAAAGGCAGGCAGGCATGAGGTGGAGACTGGCTGCTACTAAGACAGCATGGACTGCTGCACAGCTTTCTGCAGAGACTGCCTCGTCACCAGCAGGCGCACCACCTCCTCTGAGCGTTTGGTGAGCCGCTTCCGAGCTTGGTCATGAGTGACCATGGTCATGTCCCAGCCGTTCACCTGGCCAAGGAGGAAACAGGCATCTCAGCTCCTCACAGTCTTAGGATCTTTGATGGGCCCGGGCTACCCAAGCAGGCCCCCAGCTGATATCCCCTAATGCAGAGCTGCCCAGCACTGGAGCTGAAGCACACAGGACAGCCAAGATATCCTTTGGGGACATATCATCACAGCTTCCAAAACCCAGTTTGGTGAGTCCCTCCCATCTGGGAAGCCAGCTCAGCTCCCAACTCCCTCTCACCCAAACCTTGTCGTCGTCCTTGGGATAGCTGTTACCTGCATGATCTTGTCTCCGATCTGCAGCCCAGCAATTTCAGCAGGGCCTCCCTCAGATACCCGTGTGACGTAAATGCCCTGGAAAGAGGCAACCCAGGTGAAGCCCTGTGATAACTGGACTGGCCCTTGACCCACAGACCCACAGAGCAAACATACTGCCAGCCACCCCTCTGCCCCTGTGCCTACCTTTCCTGCCAGCATATTCAGCCAGTGAAGGCTGTGCCATGACAGCCGGGGTGGGGGGCAGTGTAGCTGCCCCTGGGATGTTCTAGTCAGCTGAGGGCCAATCCTTGCTGTTCCTGGCTGTCTCAGCAGAACTTCCTAGGGCTGGGAGGTTCACTCCCCACCTGACCCCTACCCAATCCCATCAGATCATTTAATATTACCTAAGAAAAATACCTGTCCCTTCCACAAGGCCCAGGGAGAAAAGCACTACATCTCAAGGTTCTGTGTCCCATGGGAGATCCAGGACCCTAGTCCCTCTCACCTTGTCTGTTTTATCTTCCGAGAAGGGATTCTGGGAAGGATCCTGGTCAATCCCACCTCCGATGCTGAAGCCCAGGATTAAGTTCTCACCTTGACGAAGCTTATGGATTTCAACTCTTTGCTGGCAAAGGAAAATGCAAGTTGGGGGTAATGCATGGACAGGTAGAGAATGAATCTGATCTCTGTCCCCAGCAGTGGCCTTGAGCTGCAGGGCCAGATCAGAACTATGCCAAGGGGTGGTACTCAGGGCCCTCTGCAGAAATCCAGGTGGTCCCAGAGTGGAAGATTGAGAGCTGAGTCTCAAAAGAGCCATATGGACCCACCCCCACAGCCCTCTGCAACTTTTCCAATCCTTAGTCAATATGTGTTCTGGGCCCCTCCTTGTCTAAGAGGCAAGGGATGCTGCGGCTTGTTAGAGAGGGTACACACGCCTTTCTTGGGGAGGACTAGCCAGGACAGGAAAGGTCAAGCCCAGAGAAAATGCAGACACCTTGCTGAGAAACTCAGATTGCTGAGCCGGCCCAGTCAAGAGCAAGCCGGGAGATACACGGGAAAAGTGGAAAAGAAGCCTGCACAGAAGAGGGGGGTAAGGGCTTCTTGCCCAAGAGAAGCAGAAAGAAGGCTGGAAGTGCTGTGGATGCTGCTTAGGAGACTGGAATGTACAGCACAGGACTGAGAGGTGAGCTGGGGCTGAAGTTGTGAGGCTGTGGGGTGCACAGGGCTAGTCACAGACAGCCTCCCCAGACCCCAAGTCCTGTTCTTATGCAGTGTAGGAGACGATTCTAGAGCTCTCTCACCATGCTCTGGAGTTGAAGTCTCCTTTGAGAGCCCTCCAGCCACCAGAGGTCACTCCCAAAGTTGAGAGTTTTAACGCAAGGAAGGAAAAAACCCAAAAGTTGGCTTGACTTGGACCTGGAAAGGCTTCACAAAGGATCATTTGAAGGGTGACAGTGCCACCACCTGACCTTGATCTTGAACCCACTGCTGAAAGGAGGTGGGCATAGGGCAAGGCATGGTCGAGTTTGATACTAGAATGATGACTCAAGTGTCAGTAGGGGAAGGGATTTCTCACAGGCAGGACACAGAGGACATGAGCAACTTGGAAAACTCCATCCTCAGACAAGGACTGATCATGAGGAAGAGGAGCTGAACGCCCTGCCACTGGCCTGGATGAACATCCACATCACTCAAGTTGGGGCCCCAAGAGAAGCCAGGGTGATCCTGGAGTGCAGATGAGGTGTCAGGAGCCATCTGCGCAGGTGTTCAGAAGGCAGATCTTTGGGGTTACAGTTCATGGGAGGGGTAGAAATGGTTGTAATACTCTCAGGATGTTAACTATACTTCAGAAGGTCGAACTGGGAAGGAAGCATCTCCACCCCATGAGCAATCCAAGACTCAAGAGAAAGACCAGACCTACCTACCATGCTCAGGCTCATGCTCCTGGTGTTACAACTGGAGGGTTGTGATCTTAGAGCTTTGAGGAAGACTCTGGGACTGCCCAGAACAAGGGGGGAGCCCCATTCTCCTGAGGTTCCATGCCCAAAAGTGTGAGCTCCCCCAGGCCTGCTCACACAGACCCTTCACACCTGCCCCAAAGTAGGAAAAGAGTCCTCCTCTTGAAGGGAGACAGGAAGGGAGAAGTCAGGCAGCAAAATGGCTCTCTCCAGCTCCTTGCTTGCACCCTTTCAGGGTCAAGCCTGGACTCTCTGGGGTGGCTTAGGGAGGGATCCTAGAAAAACCAGGCTGGTGCAGGTAGGGTGAAACCTAGAAAGCTGTCAGCTGGCCCAGCACTATTTCCTTCTACCCAGGCCTGAAATAGTGGTGCTCTAAGCTCACCCTCCCATGTCACCTGATAGTGACTTCTTGGCTACAGACTCTCCCGTCCACCCATCTAAGATGACCTGTCCCTGCAGCTTCAAGGCTGGGACCTTCCCTTAACCCACTGCCTGCCATGCAGATAGGTGAACATGGTGACCCACACCTATAATTCCAACACTTGGGCAGCTGACAGGAATGGCTTTAAGAGTAGGAGAGACTGTCCGGGAGAGAGCCGGGTCCTTCTGGAAGGCTTCCTTTATGGCTGAACTCAAGGTACCTCTACCTCTTTCTGCCCCACAGGGCTGGCCTGCAGGGCCCCCACCCGTGACAGGGGTGCTTAGATCAACTTGCCCTAAGTTCCTCCCTTTCCCTATTCAAATGGACCTTATACACAGGAGAACCCAGAGGGCAGCTTTCTCAAGGTCTAGAACTTCAAGTGTCAGGCACTAGACCTGCACTCTGCCCCAGGGGCTGGGGAGCTCGAGAAAGTTCAGAGAAGGATCAGCAGAGTTAGGTAAGCGTCAGCTCTCCACCCGGAACGGAGAAGGGGGAAGGGGCTGCCAGCTCAGGCTGGGGCCAGCCCCACCCCCCAAATCTCCTTCGGCAGGGCGGCGGCGCTCGGGAGCAGAGGAAACGCTTCCTCATTCCAGAAGCTGCGACTCACGGACGTCGGAGCCGGCGCCCGCCCCCCGCGGCCGCCCAGCTGGGGACACGGAGGCCTGGGCAGGGGAGCTTTCTGACACTCCCACGGCCCGGCCTTTCTCCTCCGTCCTCCAGGTCCGCGCCCAGTGACAGGTAGCCTCCCGCCGCCGGCGGCGCGTGGGATCCCAGCCACCTCTCCTGGATAGGGAAGGCTGCAACACTGGTACGCATGCAGGAGCCCCGGGTCCTACACCTTAAACCGTCTAGCTGTCAGTTTATTGCTCTGCGAAATGGGGACAAGCAAAGAGAAGAAGGCCGCGCGCGCGCACTCACCACCACGGCGGTGACCGGCTGGCCCGGGATGTAGGACATTTCGACCCCAATGTGACAAGCAGGCAGCTCTCGGAGAAGCCCGCAATCAGAACGCCCGCGGCCGCGCCCTCCCCGGGTTAACAAAGGCAGCCCTGCTCCGCCCGCCCCCTCATAAATACTTAACGAGTGTCCAACCAACCGGCAGCCCAAGCGCTGGTCTGCTTTTGGGAGTGGGCGGGGCGCACCCGAGGCGCAGGCGCGGGAGGGCGCGGGAGGGCGGGGGCGGCTTCTGCGCCTGCGCACCCGGAGCGTTCCCGGCAGCCTTCGGTCTAAGATGGTGTCGCTCAAGTCCGTGTCCCTCCCTGCCTGAGGGGACGCCGAGGGACTGCTGCTGCTGCGTTCCAGGTATCCGGGAGCGTCCGGCTGGGCTGTGCGGCGTGCGGCGGGCTCGAGCTCTCGGCCTCGGCGTCTCCCGGCCCGGGCGCTGTGCCGGGGAAGGCGGTCCGCGGGGAGGCGCGGGCTCCGGGCGCCACTCACCTGGGTTTTCTCCGCAGCTCGCGTTGCTCGGCGAGCCGCAGAAGCAGAGGCAAGGGGTGCGATGGCCGCGGTGGTGGCCAAGCGCGAGGGGCCGCCGTTCATCAGCGAGGCCGCCGTGCGGGGCAACGCCGCGGTGCTGGATTACTGTCGGACCTCGGTGTCGGCGCTGTCGGGGGCCACGGCCGGCATCCTCGGCCTCACCGGCCTCTACGGCTTCATCTTCTACCTGCTGGCCTCCGTCCTGCTGTCCCTGCTCCTGATTCTGAAGGCGGGAAGGCGGTGGAACAAGTACTTTAAATCTCGAAGACCTCTCTTCACGGGAGGCCTTATCGGAGGCCTCTTCACCTATGTCCTGTTCTGGACTTTCCTCTACGGCATGGTGCACGTCTACTGAGACGAGGGCAGGGGTGACTTTAGAAAACCAAGCGAAATCCAGATCGGGAAGACGGTTGCCAGAAACCAACACCGTGTAGACTTAGTTTCCAAATTGTTGAGTTCGCTGCTTGTTCTTTACTGTTAAAATGTATATATGAAGACAGAGAGCCTGTAATATTCTTCAGATTAAATGAAGTGTGACACTTTGTCGAGTTCTTTCCTACCTTAATGCATACTCAGCCACCATTGGAAATCGCCAGGATTTGACTCCTGGAGAACAGGCATAGCCTGTAATTTTCTTGAAAGTACACCTAGTAGGTCCAAAGGGGCCTCTGGGGCTTAGGTGAGAGAACTTAATGTTAACATCCTAAGAACTAATAACAGTTCATAGTTATTACCCGCTCTCTGTGTGCCAGGCATTGTGCCTTGTATTTTTTACATCAGGTATCATTTAATTCTAGCAATAAATAACTCAGTGGAGATGTTACTGTTAATCAATCTTCTTCTGTTGGTGGAACCTGAAGTTCAGAGAGCTTAGAAGCCTCTGCCAGGGGTGGCCCAGCTCGGAAGAGGCAGACCCAGGATCTAGTTACAGGTCTCTGCACTTGCCCTTGCTGTGTTGGCTGAGTGTACCTTTCCAGCATCCCCTCCCACTAATTACCACTTTCAGGTATGAATGAAACCAATTCAATTCCATTTCACCTGGTCACAGCTAGTTGTCTTTCTTACAAGGAAAAAAAAAAAGCTATTTTTCTAAAATGTGTCCTACAGTGATCAAATAGATTTGGGCATTTAAGCTAAACTGTAGGTTTGTTTTGAGTATAATGCCTTGGACTGTATATTCATTCATAATCCTTTCTTGTCAGAAGGGTTATCTTCAGAATGAAATACATAGGTTCAATCGAAAAATAAATAATTGTATTAGACTTAATGAACATGTTTCACATGGAATTTATAGTCTCGCTGGGGGAATTATTACCTAAGTTCACAAATTATATTAAATGCTATGAAGAGAGCACACAGAAGCTCCAAACCTGGCCCACGCTGGGAATGGGAGTCAAGGAGGGTTTCTTTGAGGGAGTAACATTACATCTGAGACTGCAAAATTAAATGACAGCCTAATAAAATATGGAGAAGGGCCACAGGACAGAAAGGAGTGTGACCCTTTATAATGTGATGAGGTAGTCCTGAGCAGAGATCAGAGGTCCCTGGTAGAAAGCTGGCCTTAATCCTATCAGCAATTAGGGGAAATCTTTGGAAATTTTAAGAGTGATATAACTCAGCTTTAGATTTTTTTTTTTTTTTTAAATAACCAGTTTTAGGGGCTGGAGAGATGGCTCAGTGGTTAAGAACACTGGCTGTTCTTGCAGAAGACCTGGGTTCGAATCCCAGCACCCACATGGCAGCTAACAACTGTCCGTAACTCCAGTTCCAGAGGATTGGACAGCCTCTTCTGTTCTCCGCAGGCATTGCATGACAGGGGTGCACTTAACCTACATGCAGGCAATGCACGTATACACATAAAATAAAAATAACAAAATACTTTTAAAAAAGAAGCAGTGTTAGATAGGAAAGGGTTACAAAAGACTGAATTCAAGCCCTCTTTTCAGACTATAAGTAGTCTGTGCCCTCTCAGGAAAATGGACCCCAGAACCGACCTGAACCCTCTTTTGAGTCCAAGACCACATGCTTGTACCCCAAGCCAACAAGAAACTGAGATCATGACTTTGCCTCCCTGCCCCAAAGAGCCCACCCCTGAAGATCCTCATGTGAATGGCTTGCAGCCAGGGCTTCGCTCAGAGACTTCTTTGTGTGGGGAAAGTGGACACTCATCCCTGATACACTGGAAGAGGAGAAAAGGATGAAGGAGCTGTGAACTTGACCTAACCATTTTCCTGTTGGTGAACAGTAAATTTGTTGGAAATGTTCACTGCGATAAAAAATATGCAATGAATGTTTCATATTTGTATCATTTTTTAGCAGATTTAATATTCCTAGGACAGAGGATAAGTTAATTCCAAATACCTTCTAGTATTTTATCCAGTAAGAGCTACTAGTTTTGTCAGTGCCTTCCTAGTCTTTTAACATTTGCTCATTTAAAAAGGCCCCTTGACACTGGCTCAGCAGGGAAAACTGCCTGCTGCCAAGCCTGATTCAATCTCCAGCACCCACATGATAGAAGGAAAGAACTCCCACAAGTTGTCCTCTGACCTCCACACAGATGCCGTGGTACACACATAACCATACAGACCCAAATAAGTATAATGTTTAAATCTCCATACTCTAATCTGAATATCTGCTGATAACAAGGAATGCAATATATTGGTAATATATCACAAGGAATGCAATATATTGGTAATATATCACAAGGAATGCAATATATTGGCAATATATTGGTTGTTGCTTTTTGTGTCTGCCTCTTTGGTCCCACCTCCTTACTTTTTCCCCTTTATGGGGTACTGATGAAAACAGAAAGGGGAAAAAACAAGAAATGTTTAAAATTAATGTCTTTTATTCTTTTAGAATCAAAATTGTCAGAAAATACATGCGTTAGGTCCCAGAAAGCGACTGCCATCTTGTCCCATTTGATTTTCTATAGTGGCTGAAAGAAAAACACTGGAAAATGAACAGTGTAGTCTTTTGAAAAGAGTCATTCTTGAATCATCAGCAAGTGCGAGTCTTGTCCCTTGTTGGCAGAGTATGAGTTAGAACCAAATGGAGCCCTGTTCAGATTCCGAAGATGCTTGCCAGGGCCACCTAGAATGACTAGGGACTCCATGGACATTACAGCTTCCCAGCGCAGACCTGGAACAGACCCTGTTCCCCTTTATGACTGGCTCCCTATGGGGAGGTACAACTGACAGGGGAGCAAAAAGGCAGCCATGACCCCAGCATCAGGAACAGAGGTCACTTTGCTCCATCATGGCTGATCCCCCACCATCACATTGATAGTACCCCATATGTAAATTTTTCAGTCACCCATACATGATGTTCCCAAAGCGATGAGATCACTTTTAGGAAAATACTAGGTGACCCACTTTAGGCTAGGGCCTGATACTCAAGACAGTTCATCAGACCCTGGAACATCAGAGTAGAAAGGGGCTTTTGGCTGGGGCTATAACCAGTGAGCTAATCGTTGCCCAGAGAGAAGGTTCCCCAAAGTTTAGTAGGAGTTCAGATTTCTGTCCCACTTTCCAATTTAAAAGTCTGTTTCCACCTGTAATCCCAGCACTTTGGAGGCTACAATGGGAGGCTCACAAGTTTGAGGCAAGCCTGGGCTTCAGAGGAAAACCCTATCTTAAAAACAAACATGAGGGCTTCCATAAGAATAGTAAACTCTCCCTCATATCTAGATTATGCAGAAGGCGAGAAGTTGGGGTGCAAGGCAACTTTGGCAGAGGGAGCATACTGAGATGGCTGGCCTTTGAGTTTGAGGCCCCTCATGGGCAGCCAGGAAGCAACCTAGACAGCTCAGCTAGCCTAGCTAGAAACAACTCGGTGACTGAGTCCTATAAGGCAGTGAGGTATAGTGGAGACCAATAAATTAAAAGCTCGCGTTCCCTTACTGGGAAATACCTGCTGCACATGCGTGCACGAGCATACATACACACATGCACGCACGCACACATGCACGCACACACACACACTGGCTACTCAAGGTTAAAACTTCCCCCAGCACCCTGCTAAGCAGCCATGACCCTTTCCCCTCCTGAACATTAACAGTAACATGCTGGAGTTCAAAAGCTCAAGGGTTTGCTTTAACAAGGAAACTGATCACCCAGATTCTTGCTTTCCTTTCAGAATGCAGGTTGTCTTGGTGACAGATTCCCAGATAACCAAAGGTGAGGGAGCTGTTTCTTCTGGCCACCGTGCTCTCCTGGCCTAGTGGCAGCAGCTTCTACTAGACTCCCTCTTCCACCTTTTTATTAGATTGGGGGCCTCACTGTGATGCCTAGGTTTGAATTCCTGAGCTCAGATGGTCCTCCCACCTTCACCTCACATATGCTAGGATAATGTGCACCACCTCACCTTCTGATAACTGTCTGCAAAGGCCCCTGTGGAAGGATGCTTACTGCTTCCTATGTGTGTGGACAGAGCCCTTTCCAAAGAGGAGCTCTCTGGTGTCCAGGGAACCACCCACACACAGCACCTGGGACTCACTTCCAACAGCCCAGTCCAGACAGCACTCAGTGATGAGCTCTGGGTTTCTCACCCTGGGTTTCCTCAGGGACTCCTTCCAGTACCATGGAATGGGGAAAAAGTGAGCCAGCCAGCTCACCAAGTCCTGTATTTAAGTGCCCCATGTCCATTTCTGACACAGGAAACAATCTTAAAGGAATAGGACATTTCCTGAGGGAGAGGGCAGGTAGCCAGATATATTATTAGCAAAATAAGGGTAGTCTGGAGACCAAGGATGAAAAGATGAAAAGGGATGTCTTTCACTATTTTTAAAAAAGACAGGGTCGCTGGGTGTGGTGGCACATGCCTTTAATCCCAGTACTTGGGAGGCAGAGGCAGGTGGATCTCTGTGAGTTCAAGGCCAGCCTGGTCTACATAATGAATTCCAGGACAGCTGGGGCTACAGGGAGACCCTGTCTCAAAGAGACCAAAAAAATTTTAAAATTTTTTTAAAAAGGGTCTCACTGTGTAGCCCTGGCCTAGAACTAGCCATGTGGCCCAGGCTGGCCTCAAACTCAAAGACATCTGCTTGCCTCTGCCTCTCAAGGGCTGAGCCTGGCTACTTCTGTTTCTTTGTACCTTTAAATTTTGAATCAGATTAAGTATTACCTAGTCAAAATATTTTAATTCAAGGGACTGGAGAGATGGCTCAGCAGTTAAAAGACTGGCTGCTCTTGCAGAAGACCTGGGTTCAAGTCCCAGAGCCCACATGGTGGCTAACAACCCTGTGTAACTCCAGTTCCAGAGGATATGACATTCTCTTCTGTACTCCATGGGCACCTTACAACACAGGTTCACTTATATACATGTAGGCAATACACTCATATACATAAAATAAAAATACATATTTTTTTAAATATTTAAATTCAAATAAACTGAACATACTGTCTTCCCAGTGGGGATGGGAGAGGGAGTCTGTTGGCCTCGACAGCATGTGTAAGTCTGACCTAGTACCACACCTGCCACCCAAACTGGCCTTTCCCACCTTCGAACCAGGGCGTCACAGTGTGTTTGCAAATCACTTTGAGATCTTGGGA